CGACCACCACAGGTGGACTGACAGCCTGAAGATTCTGTTTTTACTTGTGACTTATTTTACAATGCAGAAATATTTTGCCAATTTCACCTTTATTCCATTGTTTAACACGCCTGAAATAAAACACAAACACAAAAAGAACTCAACTTAACCCACACATTTGAAGAAAACCAGTGTACCTCATATCATTTCAGGTAAATTTAACAAACACTACTGTCATAACCTATTTAAAAAAACATAACCTCACCTATGGAAGTTTACAACGCACTAAATACATCAATCTTAAACTAAATGACTTTGCAATATTGAGTGATTATGCCACGTTTTGTTTGGCACCATATAACCTTAACATTTTGAAGTTCTTAAATCATAAATATAAATAAACCACTGCCCTTTGCAATATAAAACTCACAATCTCGCAATCGCTCACAATTACGCCAACACCAAAATACTTACCTTTATGGATACTACCACGGATTACTAAATACTACGTCAATCGGAATACCAACCTCGATGCTGCATGAGTAGTTTCACTTGTATTACATAAATTGCCACTGTCCTGCCACCTTTTAACCAAACATTGTGTCGAGTAATGTGAACGGACTGCTAAGCGTTAAGAAGCTACATAATACTTCATAGCATTTTATATTTTGACGAATATGGACCTAGGGTTAGGTACGCGTAAAAAAAAAAACAATGAATACGAAAACAGCAGTCTACGAAATATTACTATAAATGTAATAAATAACACAAGAGCCGTGATAGCTCAGTCGATATGGCGACCTGCTAAGGGTCTGACGGTCAGGGTCCGACTCCCGGCAGAGGCAAGAGATTTTCCTCCCCTCCACTGCGTCCAGAACAGTCCATAACTACTCTTGAGGCCCACCCAGCCTCCAGGGGAGTAAAACAGCTAGGCCTTAAAGCTGACCACTTAACTAAATCTAGTCCCGCGATTGAGTGGTGGACCTATACCTCCACCCCCTACACGTGGTGCTTATTAATTAAGCACAAGGACAACTTTACCTTTGCTAAACTACACGGCGTTACATCTCTGTTGAGTCCATTCAATCTCGACATATGCAATCTTCCCCCCGCACTACTCATATCAGAATTTCTTTCCAAAGAGTGGTAGCCCTCTGTTCAGAAAATCAGAGGGTAGGAATGGAGAGAAGAGACGTGTTGTCTTTAAAAGTAGTTTCTGATGTCCAGTGCACTTTTCTGTTAAATTCATAGAATGTCATTTTCTAAATTTAATTCTTACATACTTAAATCACTTGAAAAGTGTGAGCAACTAATCAACATAAGTTTCCTGTGTGCCCTTGCTATCTGAAAACTAGTTGCCTGCTTGAAATCAATGACATTTCTCACAAATTTATGTTGCAGTTGTCACTTTCTTTGATATGCCCTCACTGTGGCAGAAGGTGCCTTCCAATCCTGCTATGAGGCATGGAAAATTCGATGGGCCAAGTTCATTGCATCAAGATAATTAATTCTATTTGGAATAAGGAAAAATTGCCTAATCAGTGGAAGGAGTCTATTATTATACCAGTTCACAAAACGGGTGATAAAACTGATTAGTAATTATCGTGGGATATCACTGCTATGAGTATCAACTTCATACAAAATTTTATCCAATATTCTCTCAAGGTTAAGTCCATACTTAGATGAAATTATTGGGGGATCATCAGTGTGGGTTTCGACAAGAGATAAACTACAGATCAGATTTTTGCATTCATCAGAAATTGGAGAAAAAGTGGGAGTACAATGAGACAGTACATCACCTATTCGTAGACTTCAAGAAAGACTATGATTCAGTTAGGAGGGAAGTATTGTACAATATTCTGATAGAGTTTGGAGTACTCATGAAACTAGTTAAACTGATTAAATGTGTTTAAACAAAACGTATGGTAAAGTCCGTATAGGTAAACATTTGTCTGATAATATTCCTATCCAGAATGGTCTAAAACAAGATGCTTTATCCCTACTCCTTTTCAACTTTGCTTTAGAATATGCCATTAGGAAGTTCTAGGAAGACATGGTGGGACTGAAATTAAATGGGACACATCAGCTGTTGGTCTATGCTGATGATGTGAATCTACTGGGTGATAATATAGACACCATAAAGAGAAACACACAAACTTTAATTGATGCTACTAAGGAGGTTGGTCCATAAGTAAACACAGAGAAAACATAGTATATGTTGCTGTCTCATCACCAACATGCAGGGAAAAATCAATATATAGAGATAGGTAACNGCCGTGTATTCTTCGTTTTGGCCGACGTTCCTCCGAAATATCAGCCAAAACGAAGAATACATGGCGCCAAAACCCAGAAGACGACTTTCTTCAAATCAAAACCTGATTCAGGAAGAAGTTAAGAGGAGACAGAACTTGGGTAATGCTTGCTACCATTCAGTCCTGAACCTTTTGTCTTCTCATCTGCTGTCCAAAAACCTAAAAATCAGAATATACAAAACTATAATTTTGCCTGTGGTTCTGTATGGGTGTGAAACTTGGTCTCTGACATTAAGGGAGGAACATAGACTGAGGGTGTTTGAGAACAGGGCATTGAGGAGAATATTTGCATCAAAGAGGAATGAAGTGACAGGAGGTTGGAGAAAACTGCATAATGAGGAGCTTCATAACTTGTACTCTTCTCCAAATATAATTAGAATTATCAAGCCAAGGAGGATGAGATGGGCAGGCCATGCAGCACGAATTGGGGAGATGAGGATTGCATATAGGATATTTGTGGGAAAGCCAGATGGAAAGAGACCACTGGGAAGACCAAGACATAGGTGGGTGGACAATATGAAAATGGATTTTAAGAGAGATAAGATGGGATGGAGTGGATTGATCTGGCGCAGGATAGGCACCAGTTGGATCTTATGAACATGGTAATGAACCTTTGGGTTCCATAAAATGCTGGAAAGTTCCTGTGAAGCTGCACAAGTGGCAGCTTCTCAAGAAGGGCTCATTTCCATGAATGAACGAAGTCCACTGCATCAGAGGGATGTTATTTTGAAGGGGACAATGTTGACTTAAACCACAATGCCACACAAATCACCATTACTGACACTAGTCTTCTCAGCTTGTTGCAGCCTCCACTCGTTGTTGCCTGGTTAGTTTTCTAAGAAGGGTTATTCTTCACACCTTTAAGGCCTGAGAACTACACTCCCTAACCACAGACTCAAGACTGTACTGCTCTGCCCATGGTTTCCTAGTCAGGATCCAGGTCCTCCTTTATCAGGCTGGCTACAGCCTTAAATGGGCTCCAGTTACAGCACTGGTATGGACCGCAGAAAACACCTCTTCCCACAATCCCTCTATTGTTGCATTGCCTCTATCGTCACAGTTCTGGCTTTGAACCATCATGTCACAATATTTTTCTCAAAAAAAGTTTATATACTCACAGTTTATCACTGTGATACCTGGTGGAATTAAACAATTCTAAGAGACGGATCTGAGTTTCTCACAGCAATGGTGATGAATTCTATCTTCTGGGATAAAACACCATGTAGTCCATTGAAAACTGACTGACATTTTGGAGGAACATCGCCTCCATCTTCAGGATCGAAGAGTAAAACAAGCAAGAAAAGATAGCTGAAGCAGGTAGCAAGCACAGGTATGAGCATGGAAGTATTATGTTCCTCTGAAACATCAGCTGACTTCCAACAGAAGTCACATTTCTTCAATTATAACAGAATATTACAAAGTAACAAAAGGGCAAAATATATTACAAGTTTTGTCTCAAATCTGAGACAGTAAAATATGGTCACAAGTCCCAAGGAACTCGGACCCGAGAAAGACTGCTGCTGCTGGTAAGGGCCAGTAGCATATACAAAAGACAGACATGTCCTCTAGTCAGAGAGGGCACCCCACAAAAACAAGACCGTAACTGTCACACAGTAATAAATATCTGGTCATGAGTCCCAGATGGGGCTTGACACCAAGAATTACTGACTGACTGACTGACTGACCATCAGTCGCAATGTGACTTTGACTTTAACTTGGTTCCTGTTGAAATAACATAATATATGAAACAACTCTAAAATAATTTAAAATTATGTAAAATGTTATATTTGTGTCATGCTGTTCTTCTTTCTTGTGCTGTTTTTTGCAGTGAGGTATACTTCATGGTTGGTATCTTGGTTAGGTGTGATCTAGTGGTCAGTGTGTGTGAACTACAGCTATTTTAGCTGTTTTTGTCTTGGCTAAGGCATCAAGATATATAACAACAGGGGCTGCTACTGGCAACAAAAAATGAAGGTGCATGTTTTTCTGCTGATATTGTTAATGGAAGAAGATTCTAAATCCAGAAAATTCCAGAAAACGTTCTGTTTGGGTGAAATATAATAAAATTTGTTCACTATCAGTAGAAACGCAATGTACTGATGTTCAAGTTACATATTCTGGTGAAAAACATTTGAGAATTAGACCATTTAGGCATAAAATAATTCCAGTCTTTGTTCTTTTTTTAATTTTTGTTGGTTGTGTTATGATCTCATGTTTTTGCCAATGCAGAAAGAACAAATGTCCCTGACCCAGAACAAAATATCAGAGGGCTTCTATTTGATTTTTTCCTCATTTAAAATTATTCATGATAAGATTTTACATCAGTTCTGAGGATTATGTGATGGCACCTGAACCTTTCTTTCTGCGAAAATGATATTAAAATATCATAATGAATAATAAGGTAAATCTACTGACTGGAAAACTGTTCTTCTGAACAACATTTTGTTTATTTACATATTCTCATCCAGCAATGATAGCTGAGTCAGTATAGTGACAGCATAGGGGCTGGACAGTTGGCGTTTGATTCCTGGCAGGGGAATAGATTTTTCTCTTTTCCATAGAGTTCAGACCTGCTCTGGGGTACATCCAGTCTCCTATCCAACAGGTACCAGGGGATCTTTCCCCTGGGGAGTAAAGTGGCAGAGGTATGAATCTGACCACACACCTTCACTTCCCTACATGTCTTCATGGTGTGGTACTTCACTGTTTAAGCACAGGGAACACCTTTACCTTTCTACCTTACATATTCTCATCCCCCCTCCCAAGGCCCTCATTTTGTGTGAGATTTTTCCACATATGTATGTAACATCAAGAAACTGATGGGAACAATGATTCTTGCTGCTATAATTAACTTCTCATTGTAATCCACACTTATTGTATCATGGTTACACTACAGTAATAACTAATTAAATATTTCAACGTGAAAATATGGCACATAGACCGAGGCAGGATAACTCAGTACTTAAAGATTATAAATATCTCCACAGTGCAATACATATGTATAGATAATATACATTTCTAATCAAGGTAAAAATTTTACATGCTCAAGACTCAAGTTTTCTTGAAAAATTAATTCATTTTATGAAACATCAAATTAACCAAAGAAAAAAGGGTGCCATATTAATTTTAAGTACATTATAATGGTCTAAATTGGCATTCGGTTCCCACCATAATACATAAATATACAAAAAAAAGAAAGCTGAGCACAGGAGTGTCTCAGAGCCGTGAAAAAGGTCACATAAAATCTGACTCACAAGATACACTGTGCTCAGAATTAGAGAAAATAAGACAATGCCACAGGAAGCCCAGCTAATTATTTGGTGTTACTCCTTGACCTTTCCACTAGCTCAGGATGGTCAGCTCTGGAAGAGATAAGGTGGAAGTCACACTTGTGCTCAGTGATAACCAATAATGCACACTCCTGATTTAAGAATATTTACTGCCAAAATATAGAGGTGTTTGATAACAGGATCATTAGTAGAGGAATGTGGGCTCCAAAATTGCCAAAACTTTGGGTCTGTGATTTTTTATCTGTGGGAGAACCTGAAGGAAAATTGTAAAGGAACACACTTTACACTGCTGAAGCTCTTCAAAATGAGATAAGGAATGTGGCTGCTTCTATTTCAGCCAATGAACTTCAGCTTATTGTGCAGGGATTCCTTTGAAGATGCAAGGGGTGTTTGGTGTTTAAGGGCTCCCTGTAACCACTTTCAGCATCTTCAGTAACATCTGGCAACTTTCCTTCTCATTTTACCTTTCAGTTTCTTGTACTGCTTGAATGGATGGTTTCAAGCCACAGAATCAGGGCAAGTATTTTAGTACTGGTTCTGAACACAGCTTTGCTGAGTACCCCTTCTGGAACTGACTGACTAGACCTAGTAGAAGGTATGAGGGGTAAGGTGAAATAAGGAGATGGCCTACCTGTGGCATTAAGCTTCCTCTGAGCTCTCTGTATAAGCACATTTAACTTCCCTTTTCAGTGGTGTGAAGTGATACTTCTAAATGCACCCCAATACTATTATTTATGTACAGGTCTTTCATGGTCCAACAACATACAACTGACTGTATAATGTACATACAGAAATGTAGGAAAAATAATTAACAGCAAGAACTTGACAAAAATAAACACTGCTTAACAAAAACAATATATGACAACAAAAACTAATATAATAATACACCAGTCTTCATATTTAAATAATAACACTGTCAGAAGAATTTATCACATGCACTTTGAAGTACCATTATGGTAATGTAAAACAATATTGCAACTTCATAGTAACAGAGCAGGTGCAGAATCTACTAAACATGTATCACATCCATCACATACGAATACCTATACATTCACATATGAAAGTACATTCAATACCTTTGAATAATAACTGCAAACATAAAATCCTAGAAATAAAAACTATTACTAAATTCATATGGTGCAAAATGATGAATAGGCAATAATGCAAACCACACCACAAAATAAATTTATGAAAACATATTTTTCTTAAATCACTATTAAATTTGAAGCATAAATTACATTTACAAAATTTGATTTCTCAAATTGCAACACTACCCTGAACACATATATGTACCTCTGAGGCGTCTGTATGGACAGAGTAGCATGTTTAAGTAGCATCCCATCTTCTCTATTTACACCATCACCATCAGAAACTCAACTACTTTGCATGCTTATTGTTAATGCTTCTGAGATACTAATACAAAATAAAATAAAATAATATAAAATAAGCCATCATTTTTAAAATATATGCCTTTTCCATTAGGATAACTGAAATTCCTCTGGAACTGTCATTATAAAACTGAGATTTGAGATTCCCATGGTGGTGAACAATAAGATTATGATGTTCTGGGATGTGAAGCTGTGTAGTATGATAAACATGTACCAAAATTCTGGAGGATCCTGCTGCCTCCACCTTCAGAGCAGAAGCTGGAGACAGCAGGTTTCTCCAAAATGTTGGTACCTATCTACCAAACTATGTGGTATCACATCTCAGACTGTATATAATCTTCTTAAATAGAGGTTTGTTACCAGATGCTACTGGCTCTACACTGTAAAATTTAGTTTACTGGAAGTTCTAGTTCATGAAACTGGAAGAGATAAAATGGAACTACGGTGAGAAACATCTCAAGAAGTTCTGCTCCAGATGGAAACTGTGTTTGCATAAAATGAAGTAAGCTGCATTGCAACCTACAGCAGATCTTCCTGAGTTGAGTAATGTAATGTACATAAATTCCAAGTTTAATATAACAACATTCTGGTTTTTGTTGTTGTCACAAGGGTGTAAAGAAATCCTGTAACCTCTTCACTGTACTGCGATCCAAAGCACATAAATCAAAGTCAAATGTTTTCTTTGTAATTTCATACCGGCCTGTCTCAGCTATTACTTGCACCACACGCTGCAGTTCAGCATTGTCTTCTAGTGTCATAATTTTTCTTTGTAGATCTTTCAGCTGTGAAACATAGTCTGGAGAGAACTGGACTTGTGTAGCAGTGACAGTGGCAGGATCCACAATGGGGGCAGAAAACATCTCCACAGCCTGAACTTCATCAGCTGAAGTTGTTGTAGTACTTACCTCTGCTTGCACTTCCACCTCTGTGGGTATCCATTCAACAGGATCATCTGTTCTACTCAGCTCAGGATTCAATTTTTGTAATTTTGGAGCTGTCAGACCATCTTCTCTCCCACCCCCACTTGTTTCCTCCCCTCTCTCCTTTCCACTGCTCTTATGTTTCCGTTTCTTACTTGTATCCTTATCTCTTCTCCCACTTTCATCCTTCCCACCGCTACTAGGACCTTTCCTCTCTTTAATTTTCTTTGATGCACTTTTATCCTTCTCTTTACAACTACCTACCTTTGTCAGACTATTTCTCTCTTGGTTTACAATTTCAAGCTTAGATTTTGTACCCTCAAATATACAGTTTGATTGACTATTGCTACCTGTATTTACCAGACTTTTATTTGCAACATCACGCTTAACTGCAATTTCTAACTTGCCATTGTTTTCCACACGTGTAGATGGTTTGGTTAATTGGGGAGGAGCTGGAAGTTCAATTGAGTCCTCATCTGGAGAGAGGTTAGAATCACTAGACTCATGATCCTTCAGCTCATCAAACAACTTAGTGAGAGGACGCTTGGCAGGCTTGTCCTTGGCTGCAGGTGGATGTACCAGCTTCTCCGGTGAGGGAAATGGTTTGGTAGGAGATGATATAGGATGTTGCGGACTACGAGAACAACTACGTGAACACTTCTTGCTAGTATCAGATGTTAAGCCATTTCTGTCTCGATCACTGGTCACACTAATTTTTTTGTTATCTGATACACCTTTCTTTATTCCTTTCTCTCTGTCTCGCTCTCTCTCTTTTCCATTTTCAACCCGTTTATTTCGCTCCTTCTTCTTATGCTTATGCCTAGCACGCTCTTTGTCACCATCACTACTTAATTTTTCTCTTTCTTTCAGCTTTTCTGATTCCTTGTTTGAGTCCTTCTCTGGCTTCCTACCTAACTCTTTTTCTTTACCTTTACATTCTTTTGCTGACTTTTCATTCTTATCTATCTTTTCACAAGACTTGCTATCACGATCCTTGTGTCTTTCCTTCTTTGGTTTTTCCTCCTTACTTTTCTTATCTTTTTTCTTCTTTTCACTTTTACTTGAATCATCCGAAGATTTTGAATCACTCTTCCCTTTAGGTTCTTCAACTTGAACCTTTTTGGGTTCTTCTTTCATTGGTTTAGAAGCAGATGGGAATTTTGGTGGAGTAGGGGGCCGTTTCGGTGATGTAGTTGGATGCTTTGTTTTCTCTTTGTTCTTGTCATGATCCTTATTTCGATCTTTCTTCTCTTCTTTTGAACTGCTGCCAACCACTTCTCGCAAATCTTTCTGTGCACTATGTTTCACAGGTTTTGAGCCACTTACCTGTTTGTCACTACTTGGTTTGTCAGGAGGTTTGACAGGTTTAGGTAATGGTGACACTTTGGGTGATGGCGAAGGTTTCTTGGGGTCAGGTGAAGCTTTAGTGGTTTTGATTGGTGTCCCAAACAACTCATGAAAAGAGTTGGTGGTCCGCTGTTCTTCAGGACGATATTCCTAAGGAAAAATAAAAAGTAACTGTTTAAGCAAGATCACAGTCTTACAATTACTGTTAAATCTTAAATAGTATTGATTCAATTTAACACCTTACTTTAATCTTGTGTTTCTTGGCTGAATCCCCACTCAACTTAACTTTGCCAACAAGAAGTGCACCAGGTGGTTTGGATGAAGGAGCCTCATCAGATGAAGCAACAGTGGCTAGAGCAGATCTCAGTTTTTCTCCAGGTATCAGATGGCCTGAGATGCTAGAATCTGAGCCCACTCCTACCTACATAAAACATACCACATATATGGGAACAAATTTCCAAGAATTGTAAGGAGTATGTCCTGTAAGTGGGTTCAGTGTCAAAATGGCATGGTGCATTAACAGGGTGAAGATGGAGATGGCCTCCAGTTATGGGATGGAGGGAGGTGGAATATATTAAATACAATGTAGCTCACAGCTGACAGAGGGCAGTCCACCAATCTGGGGATTGGGGGGGGGGACTCCAATAGTGTCTTACCATAAGAAACTGGTGTGTAAGAAAATGTTAAATATGGCATCAAATTTTAATGAATGCCTTACAATAACCTGAGAAATGGAAAATGAATACATGATATGGACATCTTTATGTAGTTCCATCCTGTTGCATAACATATGACTGATGTGACATATTTAATTCAGCCCAAATATCTTTCAGTTCCTTTATTCAAGGATCAAGTTTAAGATGTGAGGTTGGTCTAGAAGTAAACACAGAGAAAACTATGTTGCTGTCTCATAAACAAAATGCAGAGAAAAATCAATATATAGAGATAGGTAACATGTTTTGAAAATGTGCCACAGTTCAGATATTTGGGAATCACGATAACAAATCAAAACCTATGTAAGTTTTGAGGTTTTCACGGCGATGACTATGAAGAAAGTCGTCTTCTGGGTTTTGGCGCCGTGTATTCTTCGTTTTGGCCGACGTTCCTCCGAAATATCAGCCAAAACGAAGAATACATGGCGCCAAAACCCAGAAGACGACTTTCTTCAAATCAAAACCTGATTCAGGAAGAAGTTAAGAGGAGACAGAACTTGGGTAATGCTTGCTACCATTCAGTCCTGAACCTTTTGTCTTCTCATCTGCTGTCCAAAAACATAAAAATCAGAATATACAAAACTATAATTTTGCCTGTGGTTCTGTATGGGTGTGAAACTTGGTCTCTGACATTAAGGGAGGAACATAGACTGAGGGTGTTTGAGAACAGGGCATTGAGGAGAATATTTGCATCAAAGAGGAATGAAGTGACAAGAGGTTGGAGAAAACTGCATAATGAGGAGCTTCATAACTTGTACTCTTCTCCAAGTATAATTAGAATGATCAAGTCAAGGAGGATGGGATGGGCAGGCCATGCAGCACGAATTGGGGAGATGAGGATTGCATATAGGATATTTGTGGGAAAGCCAGATGGAAAGAGACCACTGGGAAGACCAAGGCATAGGTGGGTGGACAATATGAAAATGGATTTTAAGAGATAGGATGGGATGGATTGGATTGATCTGGCGCAGGATAGGCACCAGTGGAGGGCTCTTGTGAACACAGTAATGAACCTTTGGGTTCCATAAAATGCTGGGAAGTTCTTGAGTAGCTTGCACAATTGGCGGATTCTCAAGAAGTGCTCAGCTACATAAGTGGGTATAGTTATACAAATCTTCAGTGTTATAATTAAGTGTAGTTATGACTTGGAAATATATGCAATAAATTGTTTCATCAATCCAAACCCCATTTACTAGTCATTCATACATGTGACAATATTGTGACATGTCCACTGAAAGACAGAATAGTTAGCCAAAAGAGACGTCCATTGCTATGTTACGGTAGAATAAACAGTGAGGAAATGATGAAATACAAACACTATCCCATGTAACCAATGGAAGTACTTCTGGGAATGGTGTTCTCTTTGGGTCTACACTGATAGCTACATCATGCAACAATAGAGGAGTTGTGGGAAATAGTGTTTTCTGTTGGATCCATCCCAATGCTGTATCACAAGTACTAACAGGTCAAGTCAGTTGCGTAGTCAGCACTTAGCAGTTGGGAGATAGACCCACTCAAGCCACCACTGTTGTAAGCCACTGCATAGCAACGACGAGTCGAGTTGTGAGATAGATAACAGCTAGTGAAAAAAGAAGCTGGTGAAGACACAGCAGACTGAGAAGACTTAGTGTGCGCTATAGTGAATTGCAGAGTGTGAACTGGCGATAGGGCTATAGTTACTTGTAGTCAAGAGTCCAATAAATCGATCACTAATCCAAACCCTGTCTACAGTCAGTCCATCATATGGCAGTTATTCATTTATTGCAACCTTTATAACTGCATCTGCCTAAATATCAACCAGAAAAGAGGGGGGGGGGGGAATAAATAAATAACAGTGTTACAGTGTATACACTTTTTCACCTTATTCTTCACTTCCACACTACATGTTTCTGCACTAATGTGCCATCCTCAGGTGTCTTTATGCACGTTAAACTATTGTACTGCATGCCATGATGTCTTCATTCTAAAATGACTAGAATCTGTATTTGTCATATATGTCAATGAATTCTAAATAATAAAACTTTTCAGGATTCATCCTACATCACACTCAAACACGCGAATTACGCCAATCCTCTTTTATGTGAGCATTCTTCCTACATACATGTGTGTATCGTGTTCTGTGTTGTGTTTTGCTCCTGTTACTGCATGCGTTGTACTGCTGGATATTCCTTTTATTTCTGAAATGCCTGCTGGCTTCACATCTTATAATAAGATCTAAAAGTTTATATTGTTCAGATTATCCCTTCACGTCTTATAATAAGATCTAAAAGTTTATATTGTTCAGATTATCCCCATTCATTTTGCTTTGATCCTGCAACCACTGCAATCTCATTTGTTTCCTCTGACGTAATAATTTTGAGCATACCTTGTTGAACAATGGTTTATGCTTCTTAAATTCATGATAACCTCTACTCTCTTTGGCTGAAATTTTGATATTTTCTGCAATAGTGTCTCTAACTCCATTAATGTCTACCTCAGTGTCTATGTTTTCCACAGCTTCAAACCTATTTGAAATTTCAATACGATACTGCTCTTTACCCTCTACCTCATTTAATTTCCTGAGATTGAACCTCTCCAAATGAACTGTGTGTTGTTTGTTTTCTTACTGTCAGTCTCCCTAACTTCTGTCACCACCAGACAGTGGTCAGTATCACAATCTGCTGCCTTGAACAATCGGACATCAAGTACATTATCTATCAAAATATGGCCGATTTGATTGTGTATCTTCCCATCAGGAGATGTCCAAGTAAATTTATGAATGTTATGATGTGGGAACATCATACTTTGACAATAAGATTTTGGATGTGGCAAAGTTTACTACGCTAACTCCATTATAATTACTAATTTCGTGCAAACTCTCATTCTCAATCATTGGTTTGAAAATGTCTTCCATGCCTACTTTGGCATTGAAATCTCGTAACACAATTTTTGTACGGTATTTAAGGAATTTATCGAATACATGTCCTAGTTCTTCATAGAACCTGTCCTTTACATTATCAATTTTATCCTCTGTTGGATCATGAATATTCAGAACGATGATATCATACCAGCAGCAAAATGAGCAACAAACCTGGCAAAGCTTCCCAAAAGAAGAGTGCAAACTTCTTCAAAATGCAACAAAGCAAGAACTTGAGAGCTCTCTACTGGGAAGCAAGAAGCAAAATGGGTTAAATGATCCCAAATGCAGCTACTGGAAACCAACAAACCAACCTCTTAGTATTACGTATGACATCCTACCACTAAAAATCTCTACCCTCTTAACTGCTGATATGATTCTCTTATGTATGAAGAAATCTGTACCTAATTCATGATTCTCATTCCCCTTTCCACATGAAAATGTATATTCACCTGCTAGTTTGGTGCCACCTCTGTCCCATCTGACTTACTGTACTGCCACTAAATCTAACTTATACTTTGATATTTGGAAACAGTTCTGCTTGCAACATCCCCTTCACCCATTTCCAGTATTATTAAGTAATTTCTCCTTTACCTTCTCCAATCCCTGCACTGGTTGTTCAAGACAAGAAAAGTAGCTCACACAAGCGCATGTTTGCAAAAATTTGCAATTATACAGAAAAAATGAAAAAATTACATATGGACATACAGATAATGAATAAACCAGAAATCCATGGCTGAATAATCAGGAGCTGACAGTATACAACATATGGAAATATAAGGAAGAAAACATCTGGATACAAACAATGCATATCCGTTGTGATTAAACAATAGAATATAACAGAGTTTTTTACATACCCCGCCGCCACATATCAGCCGACGCCTCAGATCCTCATCCGGGTTACGAAAAACATATTTCTCACGCTGCACCTTTACTGGTTGTAAATCTAAGTCGTAATTGAAACTGACCTTCTTGGGTTCGTCATCAGTTCGGAAACAAATGTCAATAGGCAGGTTGAAACCTGCATACCCAGACTCTTTAACTGAGTATGGCGGATCCTTGACAACTAAAGAAACATAAGAAAATAAGAATTAACATATTATATAAAGGAATATTTTACTGTGAATCATTTTTTATAAAGTGCTGAGAAGAACTTTCATTGTTGAAGATTACTGTCTTTTGGTATGTACACAATGTAGTTTGGTAAACTCCAGCCCAAAAAACTAAGGCAGCACATTCTTCCAATACACTGGTACATATCCACCAAACTACAGAGTCACAACAAAGAAGCCAGTAATCTGTTGTGACAACATCACATGTTTTTAAAAATAAATATCTGAAACGCTTCTAAAGACAGACTTGGGGGTTTGTTTTAACAAATGAACTTCTATTGCTGAATGTGCTAATGTAGCAGGCAACATGGTAGCAAAGTTAAAAAAAATATTCATTTCTGAGTCGACCCCAGAGCCATAGTTTGGCTCAAAGGATTAGGCCAACTGAAAAATCCAATGAATTCAACAGGAACCGAACCAACGAGATTCCACCTTGTACCATAATGTCTCAACCAACTACCCTACCATGTGCCCCCCATAACATGGCAGTTAAGATTTTAATGTTATTTGGGCAACCTATTAATACGTAAGTACATATTCCACTGAAAAGCGGCCTCCGTAGTCTAGAGGTAACATTCCCACCTCATGACTCGTGGTACACAGGTTCAAACCCGGTGGAGGTCGTCGAATTTTTAAGGGCGGAAAAATTCAGGGAACAAGTCCTCTGGGAGGGACTTTAAGCCGTGGGTCCCGTGTCCTAGCTTTACAGCACGTAAAAGAACCTCATATCTCCAAAGGAGATCACTGAGCCAAATTCAAGGACGTTTCCTGCCCAACAAGTAGTCTCTAACACCTCTGATAGATGGGGGAAGCATTATAGATACCGCCAAGCTAGTGGAGGCCGAACTTGCTGGCTCGGTCGGGACTGATGGTACGCACCAATATTGGTAGGATATAGAGACTGGTAGAATATCATGGAGGGAAGCACAATGGACCAATACTGGTTTAAGTGCATGGGGAAACCCACCCTCTCCAATAACTAACTAACTATTCCACTGACAGCTGCGAAGTTTGGAGTAAAATCTCAAGAACTCCATGAATCCAATACATGACCTTCTTAATTTGTATAGGACAAGGCATAGAACTGATGAACCAGCCAGAATTCACGATTCTGACATATATACAGGGTTTGTCCGAAAAGTAATGTCAGTGAGTCGATTAAAAAACTTTTATGGATTAGATCGGTGCAACACATTAAAAGGCTTCAAAATAGGCTTCTTCTGCGTCGATACATCGATTCCAGCGAGATTTCTAGGCATCGAAGGCGTCATGGTAGGCCTCCTCCGGAATGTCCTTTAGAGCCTTGGTGCAAGCCTCTTTGACTTCGCCAACTGTCCCAAAATGATGTCCTTTCATGAGAGTTTTCAAGCGCGGAAACAAAAAGAAGTCTGGGGAGCCACGTCAGGACTGTAGGGCGGCTGGGGAACCGTTGGCACCTTTGAATTGGTCAGGAAGCGGGTCACGAGGAAGGCGGTGTGGGCTGGCGCATTGTCATGGTGAAGTTTCCAATCGTCCGCGATGTCGGGCCGGATGAGACAAACACTTCGTTTGAGTCTCTTTAGCACTTCCATGTAGAATTTGGCGTTGATGGTTGTACCATGTAGTACAAACTCACATTTTCGTCGGTGGTGCTTGTTGATGGCCGTCCAGCGCGGGCTTCATCGTCGACCTCTTCACGGCCTTCTAAAAAGGCCCTGTGCCACCGGTAGACCTGACATTCCGACAAACAATCATCACCGAAGGCCGTCTTTATCATGGGAAAAGTTTCCACTGCAGACTTGCCAAGTTTCACACAAAACATGATGGCAATCCTTTGTTCCAAGGAGCGCTGCATTGCGGCTTGCACGGGAGACAAAAACGAGTTTCACGGAAAAGCCTTTCGTCACTCTCAGGAAGTTCGGAGACGACTAAGCGACCGCGGGTTCATAAGCTGACTTCCCCCTCCACCGATCCCAACCGGTCTGAGAGTGCTGCGACATATAGTCACTTCACAATAAAATAACTGACATTACTTTTCGGACAAACCCTGTAAAACTGCATCAATGGTTATCAAACTTGTGGAACCTCTGCTGGGTCACAGTCACACACCATGGATGGATTACTCTAAATTTTTTTAGTTAATATGTTTCCTGAAATCAAAAGAAAGAGTGGGCATTGGCACCCTATTTGTCATCAGAAAAAATGCTCCTCCCTTGGTGAAAGCCAAAAAGAAAAAATAATAATTTGGTCAACCCTCATGGAACAGGGGCTCTAACCTAGTATGATTCTAAGAGTGACAATGTTCTCCACATACCACACATGATGTGTCAGTAAACAGAGGCAAGGAAATCAAAAAGCTTGTTTGTGTATCTGATAATATCCACATTGCAGGAGTAAACTTACAACTGCAATCATATCCACTGGAATGAAAGACAGGTTCCACCTGGTATGTAAAGTAGAAAGGCGACTAGGTTAACATTCTTAATTCAATAATAATATATCTCTCTCTGTCAGCATACAAGAAAACTGATTCCCACAGAAAAACATGGATGTGGGTGACCTATACAATCACCTCCAGAAAACTCACTGAATGTCACTTTCTGAAGAGGATTCCTAAAATTTGAAAGAACTTTAAACCCAACGGACGTTGTATGGTGTGCTCATGACAAGGAAAGAAGTAACCAACCTACTGGAGTCATGCCTGTGAAGCTGGTTTCTATTGGGATAGTTGATTCAACAGTTACCACACAAACACTTTTAATTTGATTCCTGGTGCCTCACTTGTTTATATAGCAAGATTATAAATAAGTCTTTATGCTGAACTGTAATTGAAACATTTTTTATCTATTCCTTACAGATTAAAAGTCATTTCAATTTAAAACTCCACTGCTAAAATTAAAGGGACATTTAAAAACACTACTACAGAACAAAGTACACAAAGGGATTTAAATACCCTCACTCAAGGGTTAATTATAACACATACAAGGCCAACATGTTCTCAGCCCATTACAAATACATATTATGGCAAACTACAGTTCCTTTAGGCTAGTAAAGGCCTCTGAAAAAAGTCTGCTCCCTTCAAATTTTCCAACTACAATCTGTATGCATTTCTCATTTCTCCCATGTATGGTATGATCAGTCATGTAAATCTGTGTGTTATGCAGCATTAAATAAATTACTATTTAAAGTATACAAATTACCTCTTTTTGGTTTCGGGAATGTTTCATGCAAATGAAATACAACTTTATCCACAAAGTGGTTTATCTCAGTGTTATCAGCTCCTCGCACGAACACCTCCCAGTCATGTGTAAAACCTTCTGGTGTGCGCTTCGTTCGAATAGTTGCTTCGTGGCCAATTTCAAACAAAACCTGCACACACTAAAGAAATAAATACATTATAAGGAGCATTCTCTTACACAGGAAAAAATATAAAGTATTTTACATGTAGCTGCAAAATCCTTCACAACATAGTCTCCAGTCTTGCAGAACATACAATGTACAATATTGTGGCATGCACACCTGTTGCCAAGCAATGACTCCAAAATAAGCAACTATACAACAGCTGTTGTTAATTACTGGCTCCACAAAACAAGCATATTCGTACAGTAACAACTGCACTGCAACAGAGGAACGGTGTTTTCTCTGCAATCAGTGCTGAGATGTTATAAGCAGGGCCAGTTAGCTGTTGCAGTCAGTCAGTGAATTGTTTATAGGACTACTGCAATTCAGTTGTGACCTGTTGCTGTTAGAAACTGGTAGCTGAGGATGGGATAATTCAGGAATCCACAGAACAGGAACATCCACCATTGGAAGCCCCTATGAAGCAACGGACAGCAGTGAAGATGTGACTGTGTACCCTATAGTGAGTGAGTAAGTGGGTGTGTGCATGTATGTAATAGTGACCTGCAAGATGTAGTCATGTGCTGTACCAAAGAGTCAAATAAATCTGATCATCAATCATTCCTAGATTGTCACAACTTTTTTAAGTTTATAAGATTAGAGGATTATATGGCAATGAAGATTCTTATTGTGGTCCTCCATATTATAACACTGTGGACTGACATACTGCCTCCAGCTTCAAGGCAGAAATCTAAAGATGTTCCATCAAAATTTTTGTGCACCCTTACCCAGCTGCACAGTCTCATAACCCAGAAAATTATGTTGTTGTGACATGATGGCTGAAAGATGGAATAATCCACTGCTAGACAAAGGGTCACTAAAACATATATCCACAGCAACAGATACGGAAAGAATAACAGAAGAACTGTTAGGGGTGGTGATCATTATTTGGTTCAGCCTGAAGTTATATAGATTCAAGAATTAATTCATAAGTCAGTCATTCATTCATAAGAGAGTTCAGTGTTCAGCTGTGGAATGTTAACCAGCGGACAGTGGAAGCTGAAGAGGTGACCGATTTGTAAATCAGAACCAAGTCAGTCACAGTGGAAGAGAGGAGACTTGTAGTCCAGTATGGAATGGAGCGAGTCTTAAGCAGTCATTGACTGTGAGCTGTTATAACTGGTTGTTATTGTTAAGGAGGTGCCGATAAATCCTATCATCCAATCCAGAACCTGTTGTTATTAGCCACAGAACCCTGGATACGTGACAATATGAATATGATTTCCATTCTTTCCTAGCCCCAGGTTAAGTCATCACATATACAGTCCAGTTTTAACCTCCCTACTGTGACACGAGTGAAGAGAGAGAGTCAGCACAGTAAACATCTCATCAGTGTAACGATTCCACAGGCAACAGAGGAAGGGTGTTTTATGTGTGATCCATGCAAATGGCGACATCACCCGACAATAGACGAACTTTTGGAAGCAGTATTCTCTGTGCAGTCCATGATGAGGCTATATAATGAGGACTGGCTACCATTACGCAAGTATTGAGATGGTAGTTAAAAGAGGAGGAGAAAGGTGTGAGATGGCTGCCAGTCTGCAAGGATGTGAGCCTGGGAGTAGAGGAATGTCCACCATTGAAAGATGTTACCGTCACTGAGAATACTATTCTGTATGTGAGGATCTGTGAAGTGTAGTCATGAGCTGTAAAACTGTAAATCCCATTACCACTCCAAACCCTGTCTGCAGTCACAATAATATGCAGCAACTGGTGTCAGAAGTGTGACTGGAATGATCGATCACTGGACTGAAGACTGCACTGTGTAGTTACAACACCACACTATGTAGATGGTACATCCACTGGGTAAATTAATGCCATGAAAGAAAGAATGGACACCAGTCTAAGGAAAATGAAAACTGAGAAGAAAGAAAGAAAAAAAAAACAGATGCCAACCAAGACAGGATGGAAGCCAAAACAGAGGCCATTAATGAGTAGTTCGAGGTCCTTTGAGAAAATATGTGGACCAAGCAAGAAGAAATGAAAACACAAATAGATATCCTTGTCTCCTGGATGGCTGCTCACTGAGCCAAGATAGAAGCTAATCATGAGGAGGTGATGGACAACACTGAAAGTCAGTCAAGAATAGGTGGAAGCCCTGATGGATGTCAGCCTGGAGACAATAGAGGCCAGCCTGGAAAAGACTAAGGTGTATCAGGAAAAAGTAGAAACCAAGATGGAAGAGTGTTTATACACCAAATCATGAATTGTTTGGCTGCTAGGAATTCTTTCATCATGAAATTTACATCACAATTTTTGCCAGCACTTTCTAGCAGATCCGTGTTTCACGTAGGTGCCATACAGAAATACATGTTGCTCTGAAGTATACAGCACCATGACATACCACACTGCTCACTAACATGAACTGAGAAAAAATGGCTAATGGAGTTGTTAACTGCTGCCTACTGCTGACAAATCATAAACAAACTCCCATGCGTGAACCACATTGCTTGCCATGAAACATAATGCCATCAAGTGGTCCACAAGTTAATTACTTTCTTTATTGGCCATCAGGCATGCTGATTCTTAGGCAACAATTTGTATGTACCTCGTAGCAAGTGGTGCACTGATTGCCGTGAAGAGCAGAGCTGTGAACCGATCAACAAAGATAAAAAACTCTCTGTATAACTAGGCATTATACTATGGCATATGGAGGGAAAGCTCTACCATTCTTGACCTTGGCACAAGATATAGGTGGTTGGTCCACCTTCAACCACCCATTACTTTACCCTTGGAAAACAGCCCTTGGTATCTACTGAACAGAAGGAACCCATACACGAGTAAAACACAATTTGAGTACAATCTGCCTATTTGTATTCATCTCAACAAGTCCTTCAAAGGTAAGTAATTTTTCAGGCTGATCTTGAGATTGGAAAATGTAGCAAACATGAACCCAGCTTCTTATTCATGTGAAGTATAACAAAAATATGCCATGCCAGTGCCACACAATGCTTGGGAAACAATATGCAATAAATCTAGCAAACCGAAATTATAAACAAATACCAGACACTGAGTAATAAGCTTCATGGATCTTATTTTACAAGGAAGGTTACTAGATCACAAACTCAGCACTTTGCACTTCACACTCAATCCTTAATTCTTCTAGTATTACACACACAGTGAATTTGTGAGGCATGTAAAATATTTCCTCCACTGGTGACAGGGTACAAACCACACAAATATCAATATTTCATATTAAACCCACCGAATATGCCATAGCCCATTCACACCAACACTAACTGAGCCATTCTTAATTTCCTTTGCTTCGCCGCTTCAGGAGATATACACTACATTTCAAACACTGATTATCACGCATTTAGAAAGAAAAGTTTATATTATCTTTGATTTCTTAACATGCTATTGTTTATAGTACACACTAAGCAACATAGTGGCCCAACTCATCACGCAAAATTATCCCTCCGAAGTTTATAGATATGTTAAAATTACGAAAAACCCTCCGCACTTAGGCTCTCTTTACGGGACACTTGCCCAACAATGCGTTGTACTTTACATTACATTCGTAACTAAACCGTATACAATAGTATACAGCAGTGTGCAGTATGTCAAAAACAACATATATCCACATGTCTTTTATACATTTCACTGACGGGAGCTGCAAAGAAGACAATTATCCCCAGTCAACACACCACCACTTGACAGCCTTACATGCGATGCTTTTTAAGTTGTATTGGAACCGACTGGAACCATGTACCAACCACGGATCCTGGATATAATGGATCTGTGGGGTGAAACTGGCAAAGAGGAATGGGAAACATGCGGAACAGCCATCTCTACGCATCCTATAGGAACTAGATACTCTGGAAATGACTGGAATCGATTATACGCCAATCACAATTAATTGAATCGCATGTGTGTGAGCCAATCAGAGAATCTTGAGGGTTGCGATCGTCATTTCAGGTTAATCTGACGGGTAATTATAACATTACAGTGGGAAGTTCTAAGTTTATTTATTTGTAATTACATTTCATAGATCCACTTGTATCCCTGTAGGGCTGGATATCACATTTGTCACATACAAAGTCTTACATAAAAGATCACATGCAATAAATATTAAATATAACATATTAAAACATATATATATATACACACACACACACACACACACATACACAAGGTAAATTTAGCCTCATGCAAAGAGCACAAGTTGTCAGTCCAATTTTCCCATTTAGAAAAATATACATGTTATGTCCATTCTCATCCTTAACTGACTAGAATTATCAAGTGTTAAATTAATCAGTACAGCCACCATTAAATCCAACCAAAGGGAGTAACTTACAGTATATTTACTCATACTATTTATTTACCCTCTATCTGTGTAACTCCTGTATACTCTATAAATTCACTGATAGAGTAAAAAGAATTTCTCAGCATATAGTAAAGCCTTCCTAAATTAATTTTTGTCTGTTCTCAAAATTGTGATACTGTTAGGTAACACATTAAATAGCTTTATAGAGGGAAGCACAATGGACCAATACAGGCCTCAGTTCATGGGAAACCCACCCTCTCCAATAACTAACTAACTAAATAGCTTTATACCTGAGTAACATACACCTCTCTGATAAGATGATCATTATTCCTAGTGCCAATCGTATCTATAGTTATTTTTCAAAAACTTATCGTAGTTGTTCACAACATGTCATAAGTGAAAGCAAATATACACCGAAAATTGACAATATTTCAAGCTTTTTAAACAAGTCATGAAAAGTGTGGGTTGGTCCCACTCCCATCATTGTTCTTATTATTTTCTTTTGCCTAAGAAAAACCTTATGACAATCAGGAGTATTACCCCAGTATATTATTCCATATTTCACTAAAGTGTGATAATATGCATAGTAAACAGATTCTTAAGTTATTTATGCTTAGTATACAGGATACTTTTTGCATTAAAAATCCAACTGTGCTCAACTTGTGGAGTAACTGGTCTATATGTGCTTTGCAAGTTAGATGATGATCAAGCTGCAAACCAAAAAAGTTGTCGATTCAGCTATTTTCAACTTTGTATTAAGAAGCAAAGTGTTTAGCTGATAATCAGTTGCTACTGTTGGCGTAAATTTTATCATTTTAGTTTTGTCAAGATTTAATGCAAGAAGATTGGCCTGAAACCATCTACTCATGTGACTACAAACAATATCCTGTTTTATTTTTAGATTGTTGAAATCTTTGGATGTACAAAGGACGCTTGTGTCATCTGCAAACATGATGACTTCTGAAGTTTTACTTATTTCGAGGGGAAAATCGTTGATGTAAATATTACTCGTAAATAGCAGAGGTCCTAGTACCGAGCCCTGAGGCACTCCCGAACGGACTAGGTCCCAATCGGTGTAATATTTGTTATTGGTATACTTTTGTTCAGCCCTTTGTTTCCTATATTGAAAGTATGAATTAAACCACTGCAAGAAAGAGCCCTGAACTCCATAATATTGGAGTTTCATTAACAGGAGTTCGTGATCAACACAGTCTAATGCCTTGGCTATATTGCAGAATATGCCAATTGCATATTCTTTTCTGTTCCAAGCAGTATTTTATTCGTTAATTTATAAGTAGCCTCTCCAGTAGACAGTCTTTTTGGAATCCAAACTGCTGGGGGAGTAATATTTTGTGTGTTGTAATATGATCATTGAGCCTTCTATAAATTACCATTTCAAATACTTTAGCAAATCCAGTTATTATTGATATTGGTCTATAATTATGTATACTAGTTTTGTCTCCTTTTTTATGTATCGGATTAATCACTGCATATTTGAATCTTTCATTATACACGCCCATTGTTACTGAGTTATTAATTATATAAGCTAAGGGTATACTTGCCGGTCACGGTAGCCAAGCGGTCTAAGGCATGCACTGTCTTCGCTCGCTCGGAAGCCAGGATCGTGGGTTTGAATCCCACTCAGGGCATGGATGTTTGTGTGTTTTTCTGTTTGTCTACAGGTAGAGGCCTTGCAACAAGCTGATCACTCGCCCAAGGAGTCCTACCGTATGTGTAAGATCTAGTAAACCGAAGTGAAACAGAGTTTCATGGAGGTAGCCCTAGGCCCAAAAATGGGGCTGTAGCGCACAGAAAAAAAAAGGGTATACTTATTTGTTGGTTATACCATCATATCCTGAAGAGTTTTTGGATTTGAGCTTACTAATCACAGTAATTATCTCGTCTTCAGTGACTAAATTAAAGTTTATAGCAGGGAAACCATTTGGACAATAAGTATACAAATATTTCACTGCTGCATGTGAGTTAGTTTTCTTTATATTGAGATTTCCTGTTATTGATGAAAAATATTTATTAAAACTATGTGCTGCTTCATCAATATTTACTTTTACAGTACTGAGTTGATATGCTTTAGGTAAAGTATCTTTGCTGTTTTTTTTATCTGTCCCATTTCCCTATTAATAATGCTCCATGTTGTTTTTATCCTATCCTCAGCTGATACAATTAGTCGATTATAATGTAATCTCTTCACTTATCTTATTACTCTTCTTAGTATCCTATAATATGTTTTATAATAAGATTTCAGTAGATTATCATTATTTTTACTAGGAGTATACAGAAATTCTTTATGTCTACAAGAGGTGCATATTCCCACTGTTATCCATCCATTATCATTTTCTTTCCTAGTTACATTTTGCTTAAGAAAATATGCTTCATTGACTTCATTTGATTGATAAATATTTTCCCAAGTTTCATTTCCCATTTTATCTTGAAATTGTGCTATTGAATTTTTTTTACAATTCTTATCATAATTCCAAGAACCTTATGCATGTACAGACTGCTAATATTCTTCAGAATAAGACATTGTGCATAGTGATCTGACAAACCATTGGCAACTGTGACATCATCATAGGAATTTCTCCTTATATTATCAACAAAAATATTATCTATTAGAGAGCTACTGCTCTGTTATTCTTGTTGGAAACTGCACAGTGTTAAAAATATTAAAAGACTGTAACAGCAACAGCAACTTTGTCTTATGCACTGTTATCATTTAGAAAATTTACATTAAAATCACCACATATTATAAGTTTTTATTCTATGTACGAATTTTAGTATTTTTTCAAGCTCGCTTATAAAGTAATCAAAATTTCCAGTAGGTAACCTATATACACATATCACTAGTAAGTTTTGTTTCGCTATCATGATCTTAAGCACACATATTTCCAAATTTTTTTCATCACAAAACTGGGCCAGATCTATACCAACAAATTTGATAGGCTGTCTAATGTATATATAAACCCCTCCTCCTTGATGAAATTTATGAGCATAACTCATTCCTAGTAGGTAGTTCTGCATATTGCTGTATGATGATTTGAAATCTGTCATATGATGTTCAGAGAGACATATTACATGAGGGCTTAAGTTTCTTCTTACTAATGAACAATTCAGTTCATAAATTTTGTTTGCAAGACCTCTGATATTTTGGTGAATAATAACAAAGTGGTCTTTGGCTTGCTTACATATATTTAATAGTGACTTGCTTGGTTCAGATTCTATACCCATAAAAAATCATTATTTCTTACTGGTGGTCTCCTTTTCCTTCTGTTACAATGAAGAACTTCTTGGCTAGGCGATACACCTTGGTTTTCCTTATATGTATTAGTTTCACCATTCCTTCTCTTTTTCATCCTGGTTGGGTGAACAATTCCTTGGGGCTGCTTTGGTTAAAAGCGCTGATCCTGTTGGTTTTGCTTGCTCAGTCAGAGCAGTTTCCCACATCAGCGGGATAACTTCAGTTTTGAACTGTGATTCAACTTTTCCTTGTATAACAGAAGATATTTTTGCTGCCATTCCTATTTTACCTTTTTTATTTATAATGAAGTCCATGGCTAGTATAGTGTCCTCTTTCCATGTCAGCTTTAACTAAGCTTACTAAGCACCATTTTGGCTACAAGGGGTCTTTTAGAGTCGTTAGGCTTTCTTCTAGATTTAACATCGCATCTAATAGCGATTGTTGGACCCCTGGACAGGACGGCCATACTATAAAACTCATGTAATTCTCTTCTATCGAGCATTGCTTCTAGAACTAAACGTTCCTTCATGGATCCACTTAATTTGTTAAGGGCACTATTTAGATCTATATGATCACTGATGTTGCTTAAATACTTTCTGCTAGTTAACCCATTAGTATCCTGTGAGTTACACACTCTGTTTCCGTTGATTATCTTCGATCGCAATAATTCTATCATTAATCGGGCTGAATTTAGTTCATCCATTACTTCTTCAAACTGAGATTTTAATGCTTTGCAGTTTTCACAGCGGGTATGAGCATATGCCCTAGTTGTTTGATTTGGATGCACTAAGTAACTTTAATTCATTAAAACCATCCGCCATCTTAAATTGGCCATATGAGTCGGCGATACTAATCATAACAACTGGTGTGACGATACAACGATCGATCACTAATATTTGAAGCTGGGAGCGGACATTTCGAATTTCTTTTGTGCTGTAACGATAGTCGTTTTACCAGCAGCATATTGCATTCATATGATAGATTTTACTGTTCCATGCACTTTCATCACGTCTTATATATAGCAGTACGCCTTACACATATATAGTGAACGATATTGTTGATGTGTTTCATTGCAGTAGGACTGCACAGTGTTTATAATCAAGAATTAAAAATTGCTGTACATGAAATATTCCCTTTGAAATACATACCTGCTTTGTGATTAGGTATTTTATAAGTTTGTTACAACTCGTTTATATTGTAAATGATTTAAATCTTTCCATTATAGCAGATGAGCCTAACAGAATCAAATTAAGCGACCCGTATACATGGATGTTATTCCACATGCCTGAATGATATTTTTGGAATGAAGAAATGCTAACATATTGGAAATATACAGTGAATATTTGGCATTTACTTCACAGTAGAGGGCTATATTCGAAGATAAAACCTATAGTGATTTGAGGTAGATAAAATTATCTAAAAATGAGAGATAATTTTAATACATATCAGTCTCTTTTGGTAACTGCCACAGCAGTTAGACAAGCTGATGAAAATGTAAGTGAAGACCATGTATAATTCTTATGTATGTTGCAATTTATGGTCGGGAATATTGTTCTAACACAGTTGATCATAGTTTCAGGATCATATACTGAAAGCAGATACAGCTCCATCATTTGAATTCACTGCTGTTGGAAGTGAAAGAACCCCATCTGTGCATTCAAAAAAACGTTTACCTTTGAAGATGGTCATTTCTGAAATGGCTTCGAGGGACAGAGATACTGTAAAAACAGAATCAGAACTGGAACATAAGACAGTATCTCCACACAAAGATGATAAGCCCCTTCATACTTTTCTAGCTAAGAAGAGAGATCCTAGCAGGTATTTTAGATCATCAATGGTATTAGAAATTTTGGTACAGGTATCAAATAGCTTAAATACATTCATCTCCAGGCATCAGTCGGTCTTGTATTATTATGGTTAGGCACCAGTAGTACTGGTATGTAATTGTCATTTACATGTTGATGTACAGATGTAAAATATTAAAGCTGGAGCCTTGTAGGTGGTGGTGGAATGGAAGATATGGACAGGAAAACTGAGTAGTCCAGTTTGTCCTGCATTCACATTTATGTTGAGATGATTATATTTTGTCAAAAGTGTTTTCTTCCAGTCTCACTATTAGCTTTGCACCATCCCACCAGTACAGAGTTGGTTAGAAGGTAATTCACAGCCAGTCTAAAGATTTTACAAACAATGAAATGGAGAGAACTGAAAAAATAGTTGCAGCAAGTGGAATAAGTATCTCCTCACTAGGATAGATTTTAAAAGACGTTAGGTCAGTTGAAACTGGAGTGAACCGAATTTTCACAACACATTCGGATCAGTAGCCAAGTTGGAAATTTTGATGAATGACACTGATTTTCAGAGAGCTTACAGTACTTTCAGAGACTTTAGGAATAAAGTGGCCCAAGAAAACAGGAAAATTCTAATTAAGGTACACAGAATCAGGTCACTCAGAAGTTCATATATAAGAGCAATAGAAGAAAACAGAGCTGAAGGAAAAAATAATTGTATAAATTCATGAGCTCAGTATTCATTAACTGAAGCAGTAGCAGACAATGGGCAGATGGAAGAACTTTTGGGTACTGCACACTAGCATCCAAGGGAAGAAGACGGATATTACTAATGCTGGAAGAGAAATTGTGATTTAAATATATCCCTCACGGGCTATTATATACAGAGTTAGCCTAAAAGAAACAGACACTTTCAAAGTTTTGCAGAAAGAAGAGTTTTAATAGCATGGCCAAGATACTTACATGGTTTGAAAAGTACGCCCTGAAGTTTACATGGGTACACTTTCACTTTAGGTGAATCCCTCACATGCTCTACTACAGCTCTAGGGTTTTCAGTTCCCCCGTGCTGCTGCTTATCTTTAAGATAAGCATAATATATCTTTATCTTAATCTAAAAGATAAGCAGCGGCACGCACACAGGGAGCCTACACAGAATAATACCTGAACAGTGCTGAAAACAAGAAGTAGCTGCTGCAGCACTATAGACATAGGGTGGGTAACCCTGAGAATTTTAAATTTTAAAATTCAAAAAAATTTTAAAGAAATTTTTAAAATTGGAACTGAAGATTTTAAAAGTGCCAGTTTATGAAAATCAAATTGATGTGTGTCAGTTAATAACAAAGATTTTGTACATATCTGACTGATATCAGCGGGGAAGATTCTGATATATCGAAACCTGTTAGCAACGGCGAAATGAACAATTGAGAAGACTAGTGTTTTTTAAATTTTAAACTACATGCAGAGTAGCAGCTACATGAGACTATACACCTGATGATGGCCATTTGCGGCCGAAACATGTAGTGTAGAAGAAAGGAAGACGAAAGAACTACAATAAATTGTTACATTTAGGATGGAGTTTGTGTCATATATTGTGTAGAGTGTAACAGGATGCTTAAATATAATATACTATGTCTACTTTATACATGTCATAATTTCTTTTCTTCACAAGACAAAACTAATGCACTTCACTGTGCCTCTGTAAGACTTGATGACTAACATCATGGTCACGTGATTACTTTCCTGTTAATCATGACTGAGGGTTTTCATGGTTTTCATCAGTTCTCCTGCAGCAGGAGAGTACCTCAAATTTAGCCAAGAACATTGTAATTCATTGTTCAGTCTGTATATTCCTCAATATTATATTATCTGGCCTAATGAAAGTGTTGTTAAATAACCAACAATGGACAGGAAAAGTCATAGCAAGATACTCAGTGATGTTATCAGGGTGGGTGATTATGTAGTGAGATGCTACTATTCACATTGCCTCTGTTCACTATGTCTGTCTTTCTCATAAATATCCCTCCTGCTGTGCACGCAGGCAAGGTTGTTGCATCTATGCCTTGGTGTCCTGTGTGACAGTGGTAACCAAGTTCAAATAATAATATTCTTGTTCAAAATTCTTTGTTTGACAGGGTCAAAGTTGGAATTTTATTTATATTTCTAGAATTTCTTTGCTTTTCTGCTAATGAAGTTAAATACTTTGTGTAGCTGACCTGCATTACACAAGAAAACGTATACATGTACAGCCAAACTGAACCATTAGTAATATCCGTCTTCTTCCCTTGGATGTTAGTGTGTAGGACCTAAAGTTCCTCCATCTGCCCATCATCTGCTACTGCTTTATTTAATGAATACTGGGCATAAATAACCATAGGTTAGATTACCCTATGAAGTAAGGATCCCCAAAATCAAGTCCAGCAGAGTCCTGAAATAGCTACTCAGTCCTTAGTGGGTTATTCCTGCAAGTTCTAATCCCTACAGTAAATGCAGAGTATTGGGTTAAGTAACTGAACTTCAGTACCTTTATTTTCACTGAACTTCCACACAGCATGTATCCATAACAGTTTCACAAATGTTCTGAAATTTCAGATGTTTTCCAGAAAAATCATTTGTTGATCTTGGAGAAGATGCATTCAGTCAGAGTGACCATGCATTATTTTCAAGGATTTCTGAAGACAATAATAAGGAATCAGCTAGCTTACAATGCCAAAGCACCATTCTTGAGGGGTCACAGTCTGAAAAAGGAGATGAAAGCTGTTCTAAACATGCAGATACAAAGAAAGTATTTCCACATGAATACTACTCCACACCATGCGCAAAATCACGGTTCAAATCTCTATATGGAAATGAAGTTCTTGATAACATTGTTACACCAAATGAACTCCCATATTTGAAAAAGTACAAAGATAGAACAGCTATATCTGATTATCAAAGTCCATCATCAGCAGTGTTAGGCAACAGTGAAGATACAAGTGACAATATAAACCAGAAGCCATACTCATTACTTCATTCCCTATCAAATGCAGCATCACCTGTGCGTTTAAAATGTGTTCATGAAAGCATCAATGAAGATAACAGTCTGGCTTCACCATCATCATCATCATCATCCACATACTCCAGCATTAATGTTTGTTCAGGTTGGTCTACTGAATATGAACATGATGAACCTCAAATTTTACACGAACAGATTAATTACAAATGCAATCCTGATTCTGATTACACCTCAGAGAACAGTTTTTTACATCCACTAGTAAAGTTTAAATCAAAACACTGGAAGGAACAGAATGCTGAGACAAATTTATTATATACTGCAAAGACAAGAAATATGTCAGATTGGAAGCCAGAATGTGAACATACTGTAAGTGATTTGAAATGTATTAATTCAAATAATAATCAGAGGTATTCAGTTCAGAAGATGTCATCCATATATGCAGAAAGTTATTCGGATACTTTACATGATGAGGCAGCATCGTCAGCAGATCTGACTTCCTGGCATAGACTGAAGTACACTAGAAGGACACAGACTATTACAATTTCAACCAAGCCATCTGGATGTCCACAATCTGCACTAAAAGAACAAATGCTTAGTGTTGTCCAACCAGTTATCTCAGATATACAGTGTAGTCCATCAGATGTCAATTCTCTTTTCAAGAACAAAGTAAGAATACTGTATTTTCTTACTGTTTACACATGTAGACTGACAACATTGTCCATTTAATGAAGTTACTCAGTGTAATTATTTGTTTCAGGAATGTAATATAATGCCATACTTATCAAGTCCAGAAGAAGAAAGTGATGAGCATCCAATGTTAGAGGGTGTTCACGTTTACAGATATATAAATCAAGCCTGATTCATTGTAATATTCAAGAAAGGAAGTTACACTGTGACAGCAGTTCTCAATATTAATATTATGTATTGTTAATACTTACAATGAAATAGGTCAATTAAATAAAACTTGAAACAGTCTGAAACCTTTAATAATTAACAGACATACAACGTACTATCGGAAAGTTCTTGAACTAGGTCAAAAAAGAAATGCTGGCTTAACTTACTCAATTTTGGCTGCCATCTCTTTCGAAGTAGTCTCCTTGAGAAAGTATGCAGCAATTCCACTGTTTTTTCCACACTTCAAAAGCACCATGGAAGTCATTTTCCTTAATACTGTCGTGTGCTGCTTGCAGTTTCCTTTGGATGTCAGACACTGTTTCAAAACGTCGTCCCTTCAGTTTCAGTTTCAATTTGGTAAACAAAGCAAAATCACAGGGGGTAAGTCCGGCGAATAGAGAGGATGGGGAATGATAACCATGTTGTTGTTAGTCACAAACTCTGTGGTTTTTGGGGACGTGTGGGCAGGTGCGTTGATCTGATGAAGGAACAGTGCAGTGCATATTCAAATTTTCTGTTAAGATCTCCTGGCAAACTCCATAACTGATCCCAGTGGTGTTTGCAAGCTCTTAGATTGTTCAGTGATGGTCTTCGTGGATGAGTTCTTGAATTTTTTCAACATTTTCTGTTGTTTTGCTGGTGCTTGGTCGCCCTGAACATTCATCACCTTCATCTGACATTCAACTGGCCTTGAAACATGAATGTCATTTAAAATCCACTGTACAGCTTAAAGAATGTTCTCCAAAAGCCCCACAAAACATTTAAAAGGTTTTGGTAGCGGATTTACCAAGCTTCACGCAAAACTTGATGCAAATATATTGCTTGATTTAGCCATCCATTGCAGACAAAGCAAAACATGAAGTAAAAAGAAAGCACTCTTATAAAAAAATGCATGTTCACAGCGTGGTGACACATGGCAGACTGATGCAATAGGTTTGTGAAGTGTAATCTTCGCCTCCCCTTTCATCTTCTTTCACTTAGGCAGTTACAACAATAAGAGCCCAGGAACTTTCCAATAGCATCTCATTTCTTACATGATGATTCTGTTCATAGATAAGATTTTCATCACAACAGATTTATTTCTATTCAAAATGTATTTCAGAAGATACTACTGTTCTATATGCAAAAATAAATTACTGTCTCAGAAGACAGAACTGTCTCTTTATATACAATCAATTTCTGTTTCTGGATCTGGAACATGTATAGGTAACTTTTATCGAGAACTGAACCCATTGGTAAGTCAAGTGAAGTTTGCACAAAATGGTTCACCACCAATGGTAAACTTCCTATTCTAAGTCTATACAGGAGTCTCTACCAACTGTGGGTGTTACCCTTCTGAAAAATACGAGTACCATGGTTAGCAAAAGTGTAAGACGAAGGCCTTGTTGATTGTGAAAAGATTATAAAAATACTACAAGAAATTCTGGAAAGAAACTACTTTCCTTTGATACAACAGACCTTCTTTTACTGTTGTGTATATTTGTTGTGGTAACATGTTTACCAAGCAGTTGCCTAGCAACTATGGTGGGGGGATATACAGACACAAAGCACACTGTCTCTCTTACTCGTAAGTCTATTTTTATTTATTCAAAACAGGGAAAGTAGGCTAAAGAATACAATACATTCTGGGAAGAACTAATCACCTACTTCCTTTAATACTGCACAGACCACATAGATAATGATGTATCCAACAATTCATTATCTTTACTTCATGCATCCTGTTATGCATAACGCAATAAAGGTGTTGTGTGAATGTCACAACAAATAAGAATAAAACTAACATTATTGAGTATACACTCAATAAAATATGTATTAATATGTTTTATTGTTAATTGTTGTGTTGCCAGTAACAAAATAACTTTAATTCTTCTACTGTTGCATGCATATCTATTGCCACAAGAGTGTGTTAACTGAGCTGCTGCCCTACAACGGGGGGGTTACACATACAGACGTGCATAGAAAGTAGGCTAACAAGTGAAGACCTGTTGGAGGCAGTGTTCTGTCTGTGGTACACCCCAAAGTTATATGGAAAGGACAAGTCAGGACCATGGTTAACAGTCAGTTGCAGCATGAAGAAACCTGAGAGTGGAAGACCTAATTATTAATCCGTTCCCTAGCAAAGGTCATCTCCATGGTGCTTCTCTGACTGCACTATTCTGGCTTTCAGGAACTGGGGGGATACAGGGACACACAGACAGCAAGGTAATCTTAAAAGACTCCATTAGTTTCTTAAAATAAGGAAAGTAGGCTAAAAAATTCTCAAATATCTTCTACAATGATAATGTTGATGTTACAGTATTGGATTCAGATGGCATTACTCTCCTGGCCACCAACAAATGTGGATCTCTTGGTATGGAAGCCACTGATCATTATTCAACAAATTACCAATCAGAATTGGATGCAGATGAAAAACTGGATATCTAAATTCTGCAGTTGGTGACACTGCTATATGCAGAACTTGCAATGAATGTAGGGTTAAATACAATATCCCAGAAAAGTATTTCTGCTTAAACACAGTATACCATACTGCTTTTTCATAAATAATATGCAAAAAGTAAGTAAAGGTATCCCTGTAACAGGCCGTGGAGGCCAATAGGGTTGTGAGATGTTGAGGTTCCCACATTTTCTAGACAATCAGCTCATAGATGGCCGTAAGGATGTCAGCCCTACGCGCCAGCCGCCCTTTATCCCCAAGAATATTCCTGGTACTCATTTCTGTTAGAGACTGAGTCGACCCCAGGGCCTAGTGTGGCTGGAAGGATTAGGTCAATTGAAAAAAATCCAATGACCTCATCAAGATTTGATCCCGTGACCCTCTGGTTTGTAGCACAGTGCCTCAACCAACTACGCTACTGCGTTCCCCCTTATGCACCAACAAATTATTATATCTTGGACAACAAACCTGAATTGATTTATGAACATTATTTATGGTACAGTACAATCAAAACAATTTTATCTTATTCATCATAAACAACGAATATATTTTTCCCAAATTACCTAATTTCTGTGACATATCTAACAAAATGGTCCAAAAAGGATCACATTCTCACTGAAATTCATCTTCTAGCAAACACAATGGTTAATAATGAAATGGCTCCTCCCAAAATTAGAAGTATCAATCTAAAAATCTGAAGCAGCACATTCATCTTAATTCAGTTTAAAATGAAGATGACAGTACACAAAAAGAATCAGTTACAACTTGCAATAAGATTTCAGATGCATAATTTATTGGATACTGAAAGAATCTAGTCTGGACTAACATTTTTTCATGTGTGTTAAAGGCAGATTTCCTAAGAGACAATTCTAGTATTTTCATTTGGAGATGAAGCAAGCATTACAGTTTCTTTCCAGAATGCCTTTTTGTTTTTAAATGTTCTGGAATTTACAGAGAAATAATGTACATTCTATAATTTTGCTCATCAGTTATTTATGATTATTTTAATGATTCCTTCACTACCTCAGACTTTAGTGTAAAAGCAGGAAAGTATATGAAATACAGGAATAAAACGATAATTTTAGTCATACATGGTTGAAAATTTAAACTCTCCAGTAAAAGGTGAACACCTGCAATTTCTTATCACTCTTACCTCTTATAAACACTGTAACAGACCTCTGGGTTCTATATGGAGATTATGTGACAGCCTTTTGAAAATCATTTGGCTCATCTGACAGAAGGGACACATGCTACTGATATCAACTTGTACAGTGAAAAATTCAGATTCATGGAACAGCTGACAAGCCATTTGCCTCTAAACATTATGATTTCTCTTCTATATTGCTCCAAAAATCTTTGAAAGAGTTCTCTCTTCTGGGATATGATACTGTGTAGTCCACTAACTGCATGATATTATATCTCAGAAGAAATAACTCTTCATAACCACCATTGTGAGAGCCTCAGATCTAAAGAAATCTTTGAAAAGCTACAATGAAGTTGGCTTCTGCATTATATGCCTGTCAATCACAATCCTAAGACCCTGCTATTGAATAAACATGTCAACTGTAATCCCCAAGCACCTACTGCTGTATACAAACCTACTGACTGTAATCTCAAGCCCTTGTTACTGTATTTAGTCAGTCACATTACTTCCGTGTTGAAATGATACATGACAGTTTCACACCAAAAGTAGTGTTTATGGATGATACCTGCCTGAAAAGGAAGAAGATTCTGGCATGTACAGAGTACAGAAACCTCAACAATAATTTAGAATCACCTCATATTTCAGGATGTTACAATCCAAACAAAATTAACTATTGATACAGGTATATACAAATTTAGGCAAACTGGGCTATTGTTGCCCCCCTCCCCCTTTCCCAAAAGAACCAAATCAGAATGCTGAATGCTAGCTGAAGAAAACTGCATTAAATGAGAGCTAGACCTCATCACTCCCCTCAAAAATCCCTCATACACCATGAACAGGAGACTTAAGGTCTAAAGTCTCAAGTTTGCCGTTTCCAAAAAAGAACTTCCAACAAATGAATGTGAACATTCTACAGAGGTGTAAGGAACATGTGCATTACAGGGACCACTTCTGGTGTGTTGTGTTCTGCTCCAATGGGCCATAGGCTTGCTGCATGTGCTTTAGGTCCAACACATACAGAAAATACTGATGTGAGTGGTTTCTTTCTCTTCCACTGGAGTGGCTGAATTATTTGTAGCTGGCTCTCAAATAACCTCCCTGTGTAAAAGAAGAGGAATTTCTCAACTACCTGAGTGACTACTAACTTCTCAGGAAGGGTTCTGGTCCATGTAGTTAGTTTAAGTGGTAATAAACAAGCCTTCAAGAATCTCAATAAACTAATGTCTAAGGTGGATTCAAATTAAATGCTGAAACAGCAGTCTATGCATGTAACATGAACAGAAAGCAGCAAAGAAAATAGGATGAAGATATCTGTATGCTGTTTACTTCTTAACTGCACAAATTAGCATTAATTTTTAAGGCTGAGAGTATGAGACAAATCTAAAAGCTTCAGCCAACCTAACATTAATTCAAGCAGTGCATGTGACATTACCATGAATGTAACACTGCTGCTGCCCCTCCCCCCCCCCCCCCAAAAAAAAAGGGGACAGGGAGAAAGATTGGACAGGGTGACCATTTACTGAAAATCCATTTTGCAGAAGAAATCCTTTCCTTACAAAAAAGGTTCTCAGATGCAGAGGGAAAGGTTAATCTTATACAAAATTGTATTAAGGACCAAACATCGTGAAATTCTTAAAGAACAGACTTAGTAATATGAGAAATTGGTCTATCAAATTAATGGCAGTGAAATGTGTTTCTCATCTTTTATTTTTTACATAAATTATAGACTTAAAACAAAATAATGGACAATCAAATACAACAGAATATGACCTCATCTGAATGTCACCTGTTTCCTGCTACATTTACTTTACTTCTACTACCATGTATTCACATTTTCCTCTCGTATCTGATGTACATTTCAGCTTGGCTGCATCTATTCCAAATATGTAACTAATCTGCTTCATTAGCTGCCCTGGATCTGTCTCTGAAACATTTCCACACGGGTTCTCAAGCATTACTGTTCCTTTCTTGCCATTACATTCCACATTGATGAACTTGCAGAATGGGCTGTTGCTATGATTCAGGCGTGGTTTTGAATTTTCATGCTCTCTCTGATCTTTACGGTATACATGAAGGGTCTGTTTATGTAAGTGATTGAGATCTTGCATAATGGTTGGTGCTGGTTCATTATTTGAAATGGAAAAGTAAAAATCTTGGCCACACAAACCAAACAGTATTTCAATTTCTTCTCTCAGCTGTTGAACTGAGATCTGGTTTTCTTGAAATGGATTCTCTAGCAAAATCATGCCACACATATTCATTCCAAATCTAGGCTGTAAACCACACAGCTGAACATTGACATATCTGCAGTAGGGCTCAGCAGTAAAGGATTGAGATGCAGTTACTTCTTTTGTATTTGCACCTGAGCACCAGCCTTCGCAAAAACCATAGGTTATTACCAATTTTAACAAAGAACCCTTAAGTTGCTGAGTTTCTTCTATCAACTGGGACAAACGAGCATTTTCTTGCAGTTCTGCCATTGGGCGCAGTGGAGCTTTTAGTGTACTTTCTATGAAATGAGCATGTGAGACAGTAATGCGATGCAACTGGCTGTCTGGTGGACTCACACTAAAATAGACTGTCACTGGGTCTGATGGTACCAGATGTGCTTTCTTCCGCAGCTTCTGAATGCGATTTATGACCTCACGGGCTATACCCTCATCTTGCAGTGCCTCATCAGCTGTTGTTGCCAGTAGTACCAACAAATCATTGTCAGCATGTGCCTCATATTTCTGTGATAATTCATCATCAGTGTCCCCACTGAAGCTAAATTTAATATGGACATCTGCTGGCTCAATGTTATGTCCAAAAAGTGTCAAGTTCCTACCAGATAAGAACTGTTGCAGCTCTGAATCAGTCAACTCCTTAATTGCCTGCATTACTGGTTTAAAGGCACCCTTCAGTCGAGCTCCCAAAGTCTTATGGTCAGGTTCAGCTCGAAGAGTTACACCATATTTCTTCTTGTCAGTTGTGATGGTCAAATGTCGGACATTCAATTCCTCTAAAATATAGTGCTCAAAAGATATGATATCCTGCAAATACTGCTCATCCTGGTGAATAACAACAACTTCAGGCAAAGGATATTTCACAGGTATCGTCTTCCGATCCCTTATCACCCTCCCAAGATCAATAACAGTTTGCATGCATGATACTGCTCGCTCTATATCCTTATTGATCAGATCACTTCTGGGTTCAGGTAACATAAGGTAATGCACACTGTCCATTATGGCATCAGCTTTCAGAAAGTGACGCAAATTGCGGTACATGTGCTCTGTGAGAAATGGTGTGAAAGGAGCCATGACACGTACCATCGAATACAAGACATGATAGAGTGTGTGCAAGGCATGATAGCAATCCCAGACACCACTCTCTCCCTTCAGTCTTTTTCTGTTCATGCGTACATACCAGTTAGTAAGATTGTCAATGAACTTGATAAGACGTGGGACCACCGTGTATAGTCGATACGCTGCCATCTCTTCTTTCATAAACTGAAGCAATGACTGGGTAAAGGAAAGAATCCAGCAGTCCATCAAATTCTGAGACAATTCATCTCGTGGAACATCATCAACAAATTCAAATTTGGAAACTTCATCCTCCCTCCTTAATCTGTCCAAATTTTGAACCAGAAAGCGATATGCATTGTACCATGGGAGGAAAACATCTTTCAGGACTTCTCGGACACCCTCCTCTTTGAAGCGCAAGTTCTCTGCACGAACAACTGGAGAATTGATAAGATAAAGTCGTAAGGCATCTGCACCAAACTTGTTCACTACTTCCATTGGATCAGGATAATTTTTCTTCCGTTTAGACATTTTCTGGCCGTCTGATGCAAGTACCAGACCATTTGCAATCAGGTTCTTGAAAGGAGGCTTGTTGAAAAGTGCTGTTGAAATAACCAGTAGAGTGTAAAACCATCCTCTGGTCTGATCAATACCTTCAGCAATGAAGTCAGCTGGAAAACAGTCTTCAAATTCCTTTGTGTGTTCAAATGGATAATGCATCTGAGCATAAGGCATAGAACCAGATTCAAACCAGCAATCAAACACTTCAGATACTCTCTTTAATGGGGGTTGGCCTGGTCGCCTTGATGGAATAGTCAGGTGGTCAATATTTTCTCTATGTAGGTCAGTAACTTTTACACCAGTCAACTCTTGCAACTCTGCAATGCTACCAACACACACTATCTCTTCACTGTCAGGTGATATCCATAATGGAATTGGTGTACCCCAGTATCTGTTACGACTGACTGCCCAATCTCGAGCTTCACGGAGCCAATTACCAAATCTTTTCTCTTTAACAAAATCAGGGACCCAGTAAGTTCTTTGACTAGACTTAAGAAGGTCTTTGCTCATCTGTTCAACTCTAACAAACCAAGATGGAACAGCCTTATAGATCAGTGGTGTCTCTGAACGCCAACAAAATGGATAGCTATGCTTGACTGTTGAACAGTTTACTAGTCGATCTGCTGCCTTCAGCCACTTTATGATGTTTTTATCAGCATCTTTAACATACTGGCCTATGAAATCAGTAACTGGTGCTGTAAAACACCCACTAGCATCCACTGGACAAATCATGTCTTGATCACGTGTGATTATTCCTGCTGCCAAGCATACACGATAATCTTCTTCACCAAAATATGGAGCTTGATGTACAATTCCAGTTCCTGACTCCTCACTTACATAACCATCTGTGAGAACTTGGAATGCTCCTTTCTTTTCCATATGTAAAAAATATGGGAAAAGAGGTTTGTATCTCTTTCCTTTCAGAATGCTCCCTTCGAATTTTGCCAAAACAGTATACTGATCTTCCTTTTTATAAAGCGCTTCTAATCGACTCTCCATCAAAATGTACACTTTTCCAGAAGTGTGATCTCTCACCTTGACATACTTCAGATTTGGATTCACACAAAGTGACAGATTACTAGGCAGGGTCCATGGTGTTGTCGTCCATGCCAAAAGTAGCACATTCTCTTCCCCAACAAGAGGAAAACTTACAATAACAGCGGGATCAACAACGTCTTTGTAGTTTTGACCAGATTCAAAGTTGGACAAAGGTGTGTTGCAAGCAGTAGAATATGGCATTACTTTAACTCCACGATACACCATTCCTTTCACAAAAAGCTCCTTAAACACCCACCAGATTGACTCCATAAACCACGGGTACAAAGTTTTGTAGTCATTTTTAAAATCTATCCACCTGCCAAGACGACCAACAATGATTTCCCATTCTGATGCATATCTCATTACAATCTTGCGGCATTCATCATTATACTTGTCAATTCCCATCTTTGAAACATCTTCTGGTCCTTTAATCCCCAAGGTTTTGTCAATTTCATACTCTACAGGCAAACCATGGCAATCCCAACCAAACCTACGCTCTACGTGGTAACCTCGTTGATGAGCATATCTAGTAACAATGTCCTTAATTGTACCTGCCAGTATATGACCATAATGAGGAAGTCCAGTTGCAAAGGGTGGTCCGTCATAGAAGGAGTATCTTGGCTTTCCCTTCGACTGTTTCAAGCACGTTTTAAACACGTCCAACTGCTTCCACAGCTCAATTATTTTCTCCTCCTCTTTAGGAAAATCAATTGTTTCCGGCACCGGCTGTACCATTGCTACTTATTTTATTATAAATATGATAAACAGAACATGTACACAAAATTCATTTCTCGTACAGTAACAGACACATACGTTAACCTCACGCACTCACCATTGCTCATACGTAACATAGGCAACGGTCCCACACGGCACACTTCAATTATCTATTATCTCCCAACATGTGGTTGGCGACAAAACATATATCTATAAAACACTATATAGTCTGTACCTTATATTATTCAATAAACATAATGCAGATATATTAAGTTATTAATTCGAAACTATGAATAAGTGTAGCATTCGCTTGCATTCATATTTATTTATTTTAATTATACTACCAACCACTGCCAACTATGCAGGACAATGTCTAACAGGGTAAAAGTATCGATGTTGTCTACAATGATCACCATCATCACCACGATAAACTCTACGTCACAGAACTCTTAGGTGAATACGTCAGAAATTTTGGCCAAGACAAGTGAGGAATTCTAACCCATTCGATTTGATGAATTTCGGTTGTGTAACTGTATACCGCTGTTTACGTTGTTATATTATAAATATTCTGTAATATCAGTAGGTGATCAAGAATTAATTTGTTATAAAAGTAAGGTGGTAAAAGTAATGTCTGATTTGGATTAATAGCAACAAAACAGAATGACATGACGTTAATGAGCTGTTATTGGTGCTATAAGACGAAAAAGTGGCCAAGAATAATTTTGTACCACTTGTATTAAGAATAATATTAGTAGACAGGAGTGGTAAAGATTGGAAATTGTAGGATAGGGATGTGGAAAACAAAGTGGTTCGCCTTGGTAAATTATTCAACTTTCCACCTTATTTTCGTCCATAACTGAAGTGAATACAATTGGACATGTTAAAAAATAACAGCGAATGCATCACATGTCAAAGTCACATAAAAATTACACAGTGGTCTGTCACGATAATATAACAACCGTTATAAGGTACATAACAATAAATGATACATAAGACCAAAAGTAAAATCTCAGTAATATAAAATACGTAAACACAGTATTAAAAATTGCAAACCAAAAGACATCAAACTAGTCATCAATCAACATTAGCTGAAAAACTCATGACGAGAGTAGAAAGTGCAGCACAGCAAATAGTTTTGAGTTTCCTCTTAAAAACAATACAATTTTCAACGCTTTTCATTTCAAGGGGAAGACCATTAAATATTTTAGTTCCCATATTCATTACACTTTTTTTTTTTGCAACGGTCCTGGCGAATGACCCTTTCATGCATGTAGCCTCGTATATCTGGTGTAGCTATTAGGAATGTATTCCTAGCTTTGAAGGAATTTATTTAAGTTTTAATTTGTGTAACACACCCAGTCCATTAAAATTCATAGGACCAAATGGGGAATATCCAGTATAATGTACAAAGAAGAAATACAAAACAAACTCCATGGTTTTAGTCCACAAGCGAACTATATCGACCAAGCGACCGTCACTTGTCAACAAAGTTAGTGACAACACATACAAGCCATGAGAAATAACAATAACAACTCAATATTTTCAAATAGCACATATTAAATACAGGACACATGTGGCACTGTAATGGACACCATGGAGATTAGAAGGAGAGAAAGGAAAGGGAAATATTTGAACAGCTTAGAGAAGTACTGTATTTATATTACACTATTTTACCAGGCACCATCGTAGCTTAAATAGTAAAGTTTTCTGATGTACTGCCCCCAGTGTTACAAGAGATTGTAAATGTGGTCTATATTAATATTATCTTGTGTGCCTAAATCAGCTCACATGGCCTTTTGGCTTAGTGTTAGTGTTTGTCTGAGAAACTGTCCATCATCTGTTATTCCAGAATGTCATGTTCTGTTCGAAGTGTTTGATAATCGCAGTCCAGTAACCTGGTAATACTCTTTGTAGTACATCATTGTCAAATTTTACTTCTTGTTATTTAAAACTGGTAAATTAAAGGACTTGAAATAATCATGTTTCTATTGTTACTCGGCTTAAGAGCTGGGGCAGCTCAGTCGATGTAGTGACAGGCTATGTGGTGGACAGCAGGGGTTCAATTCCCAGCAGGGCAAGATTTTTCTGTTCATAGCATCCAGAGTGGCTCTGGGGCCCACGTAGCGTCCTCTCCAGTGGGTATCAGGGACTCTGTCCCCATGGTAAAGTGGCAGGGACATGAAGTTGACCACTTAGCACCACCTAGTGCCAAGGTCAAGAATGGTGGACCTCCCATATATGTGTTCATAATAAAAACTATGTCTGCAACAGGCCATGGAGGCCCATAGGGTTGTGAGACATTGAGGCTCCACATAATCTGGACAGTTGGCTCATAGATGGCGGTAAGTTTGTCAGCGTTACGCACCAGCCACCCTTTACTCCTCAGAAAGATTCCTGGTATTCATTTCTGTTAGAGGCTGAGTTGACCCCAGGGACATAGTGCAGATGGAAGGATTAGGTCAGTTGAAGAAAATTCACCTCATCAAGTCTTGAACCCATGACCTCCTGGCTTGTAGTATAGTGCCTCAACCAACTACACTACACATGTGCCCTCTTGGTCTTCATGGTGTGGTGCTTAACCAATTAAGCACAGGAAACACTTTTTTTTTTTATTTATTTATTTATTCACATCCATGGATCATTATACATGACATAGGACAAGTCAAAACACTCTATAATCCAATACAACGATACAATAAGACAATACAATGATACAATAATAGAATAATAAGAAGAACAATATAATTTTATACTAATATAATAATTAAATGATGAGCACTATATTTATCAGTCACAACACATCAAATTTGAGAATAGATTAACGTGTTTCGGCTATTTAGCCTATTTAACCTATTTGGCAGGGGAAACCGAAGTACTCGGAGGAAACCTGCCCCGGCGCCAGTTTGTTATCACAAATCCCACTTGTTCAAATCACAGCGGTGGGAAGCCAGCGACTAATCACTTAAGCTCTGGCGCAATCACTTTCCTACCTTATTTTTAATCTGCTTTCCTTCCATCTCTTTGTTTCTTTGTTCATTCTTCATCTCTTTGAACTAAATTTTTTTCCTGCATGTGTTATTTTCTAAAGTGCACTTATATTGCACATGTTTTTGCAACCAGAATTATTTTACTTTTTCTCTTTAGGCACTGGAAGCAAGAATAATGTGGAGCATACTGAATTATTTTTTTCAACTTAAGCATATGCCAAAGGTATTTATGCGACACAAATCCATTAATTACTACAGTGGTCCAGAACCTCCAACTGCTGAAATAAGTAAGCAGCTATTGCAGTCCAGGGGTGGTAGTGTTGACTTGGTAAAGAATGAGGACACAGGCATTGCTACTTTGTGTCTTAATCACCCAGAGAGAAGAAATGCCATCAGTGGTAATAATGACAATAATAATAGTATTAATAATAGTATAAATCTTAGGCAGTATTCCTAATGTGAACGGTCTTACAACCATTTGCAGGATCGACATATTGATGAGAGGTAATATATAAAGGCAGAGTCCTAGTTCTTAATAACATGTCATGATGATGTGTAGGGGAATGGAAGTGTAACTCCATGCATTATTAATCTTGGCACTAGATGGAAATGAATAGTCAGCTTCATGATAGCCACTTTTCATCTGGGGGTATGAGCCCTAGTACCCATTTGATAGGTGGGTTCCCAAGTCAGTCGGTCTGGATGTGCTAAAGAGAATCCGCCCAAAAGTGGCAATAAAATATCAAGTTTTGAAGTAAAAAAAAAAAAGGTAACACTATCCCTGTAACAGGCCATAAAGGCCCTTAGGGTTGTGAGACATCGAGGCTCCCACATTTTCTCTAGACAGTCGGCTCACAAATGGCAGTAAGGTTGTCAGCTTTACGCACCGGCTGCTATTTATCTGCCAGGAAGATTCCTGGTACTCATTTCTGTTAGAGGCTGAGTCTACCCTGAGGCCATAATGCAGCTGGAAGGATCAGATAAATTGGAAAAAAATCCTCATCAGGACTTGAACCCCTGACCTTCTGGCTTTGTAGCATAGTGCCTCAACCAACTATGCTACCACATAAATATTAAGCATTGTATTTGCACAGTTATGAGTCTTACAAAATGAACTGATTCATTTAAGTATTGATAAGTGCTTTCAGATTTAACACAAACTCTTTAAGGGTTATTATAATTGCTGTTTGAACTGAGAGGTCATGATCCCAGTGTTACCATTCAAAGTGACTTTATTTATTTTGATACTTTTATAAAACAAGATCACTTGTCCAATTTACCTTTGATCAACTCTTGATGCTATGAAAAATAAATTTTGAATGGTTTTCTTTAAGGTCGTAACAAAATTTTGATGTCCATATTGTGGTTTTCTGGGTTATATCATTGTAGATGACTCAACAGACTGCTTCCATCACCTTCCCCATATTGTGTACTGCTTATTTGACTTTGCTTAGAGGGCATAGTCAGTTAATGCAGAGGCTCCCAACTGGTGTGCCGCAACATGCTTATTGTGCTGCAAGAATGTCAGGATTTATGGTATGGGCAGTGAACTTGTAATTTTGTAGGACTATCTGAAAGGCTGGACCACTGAGTAGCATAAGACAATTTGGCAGTGCAACATGCAACACAGTAATGGATACAAGAGGTCTATTTACCTTAGTTAAAAATTACAACCCACCTCCTGCCCCACTTGTATAAATTTTCAGTCCATGCTGTATAGTAGAATTGGAATATTGAATGATTATGTTTTATGTTTTGTTTTGCATGATTGGGTATGGTTTGACAACCGTGACTTTTAGCTCTAGACAGTGACAGTTACTTTGTGAAAATTTATTACAGTTTGTCAGTGTGTGAGTTGCAGTCATGCACTCTCATTTTTTAAAATATTTTTAATGGCTTATCATTGTTTCTATGGTGTGATTACATTTTTAAATAAAACATAAATTTGGATTGACTTAAAATGAGAAGTACAGACCCATTTAAAATTTGGCTTCATATTGACTGATGGTGTTAATTCTCATCTGAAGTATCTTGTGCGTGGAGATACTTTATCAAAACCCATGGTTCTAACTGAATTGAAACAGTATTAACCACACAGCATTCCAGTTTCACACAAACCACCATAACACTTTCATTGCCATGAGTCTATGAAAAAGAAAATTTCAGAAAAATATTAAACTGAACAACATACTATGAAAAATCATTGTTTGCATTGTTCTGCAAAGCTGCAGAAATAACGGCATAGTGACAAACTGCACTCTGTCAGAGAAGAACTGATTTTATTTTCAATGGCTCTACAGCCCGCTTGGGCCCAGGCTTCTGATTTTTCAGTTTTATGATCATTTTACAGGTGGTAAGACACCTTGGATGAGTGATCAGCTCATCACAAGGTCTCTACCTAAACACAGGATAACGCAAACACAGAATAAACACATACGAAACATCCATTTGTTGTGGGATTTGAACCCACAGTCCCAGCTTCTGAGTGAGCGGAGACAGTACATGCCTTAGACCGCTTGGCTAATGTGACCGGCGAAGAACTGATTTGACCAGCTTTTAAAGAAATTATCAAATTGTAAGGGTGATACTTGACCCTGCAGCCATGGAAGAAGTTATGAAGGCGCCTTTGCCAAATAACACTGTAAGTAGAAGAATAGCAGAAATGTCCAAAGACATGAAATGTAACGTTAATTAAAATTTGCACATTGCTGAGTAATTCAGTTTGGAGTTAGATGAAACTACAGATGTGAATCAAAAAACCCAGGTACTTTTCTAAGATCTGTGGTTGCGACTCATCATTCAGCAGCTTTTGTTTTGCCAGGAACTGAGAAAGCAGACAGTTTTTTTAAGGCAATAATTTATGTTGGTAGAACTATACATCAGTTTGCACTGATGGTGCAGCAGTAGTGACAGGGCAATTAAAAGGATTCTTAGCCTTCACACAAAAACATAATTGAAAAAGAAAACCCCTTTTTAATATGGACTCATTAATCTCTACATTGAGAAGATATGTATCATGGAGGAGAGTGTTGATGTAGGTGATTTGGAGACGTGCTCACCAGTCCCTGGGATGATAAACACAAGTTACTTTGTTCTGAAATATGGCACAATTTTGAGTTGTGTCATGGAGTTGCAGGAAGAAATGCAGTTATTTTTTGAGACAGAGTCCTGAACTTTCAGAAAAGTGCAGTGACGTTGTGGTGTATGGATGCAGTATATCTAGGAAATGTTCCATGAAACTTGACATCCTGAATGCCAGCATGCAGGGTGAGAAATAATATCTCAGCATGTATCAGAGTGACAGGGCTGTTGAGGAAATTGTCAGCATGAATATCATCATCAAAGATTGGGAGATTTGTTGAGTTTCCCCTTTTTAGAAGGTGCTGCAAGTCAACTGAAGCCTAAAGAAAATCACCATATGCAGAAACTGATCATAAAGCATGCCTACTATTCAGGACAGGTTTTGATAATTACTCTCCATCTGTTTCAACTAGTGGAGTAGATTGGGTAACGGCACCATGTGGTGCCTGCAGTGAACACAGTTTCAACAATGCTTTGGGTTGTACTTCCATGGAAAGAGTACAATTGATGAACATACGTGCAAATACATTGTTAAAACTGAAGTTTTATGACCCTTTCTTGGAATTAATTTTGGATTTATGTACAAAATGAGTACCCAGTGATTGCTACTAAACCTCAAGATGTTTTGCTTCCTTTTGCTTAGTTATGTTTATGTGACAGTGCATTTTGTACCTTAAATGGAATGAAAATGAAAATTAGATCAAGACTGATAGATACTGAGTGTTTTTTATCAACTTTTTGGCGTTCATGAAACATAGATCTCCCACTGACTTGGTAAGAGTGAAATAATAGTTTACATGTGTTTATTTTTTGCGGTCCATAAATGAGATGACTCAGCTTAGGTCAGTTTCTGATTCTCCCTATCTTGTCATATTTTGACACATGCTCTGCCCACCCTGCTTTTCAGTTTTTGAAATCCCCCCTATAAATTATAAAAATTATAAAAAAAATTTTTTTTTTGGTGTCTAGGATTTTAGAACTAATTTTAGTTATATTTAAGGCGCTGAATCTAAATATAAAATCAGTTTTTCTCTACCAGCTCTACTTTTTTAGATCAGCGTTTTTGTAACGTGCAGTTCTACACAAAATGTGCAGTTCTAATTGTATTTTGTGCAGTTCTAAATCTCATATGCAAGGATTGGTTCCTGTATATTTGCCCTATTGTCAGTCTGCTGTCCACTGAGTTCCCCCAAAATCCACTAGATGGCATTGTCTGTCCGGTGTGAAGTGAACTTGAACGCTTCCACTAGAGTTGAGGTTAGTTTATATGTTCTCGCCGTGCAGGGTACATCGAAGTTGGCCTCGGGTGATATTTGTTTATAAAAGTAAAAGAGTTGTTATAAATTTAACCTAAAACGTACTGTGTTGAAGATTGTTGTGTTTGTGTTCCTGAATTGAAATAAAATGAGTTCAAGAAGAAGAAGTTGTATAAATCAACCTGATGTGTTTTGTTACATATGTGGAGAATACACGTTAAAAGAAAACAGAAAAACTGTTAGTGACTTTGTAAAGAAAGCTTATTTTGTATACTTTGGTGTTAGGCTTGGTGATCAGGATAAAACCTGGGCACCGCATCAGGTCTGTAAAACTTGTACAGAACATTTACGACAGTGGACTACCGGGAAAAGAAAAAGTCTGAAATTCGGCGTACCGATGGTTTGGAGAGAACCCAAGAACCACTTCGATGACTGTTATTTCTGCCTAGTAAATATTACTGGAATCAATCGAAACAACCGTAGCAAGTGGACTTATCCTGATTTAGCCTCTGCAAGACGCCCAGTTCCTCACTCAGAGGAAGTACCGATCCCAACGTTTCACCAGCTACCAGAGCTCTGTGAGGATGAGTATTTTCCCTCTAATCACCCTTCTGATTGTAATGAAGGTGACAGTGATTATGAAGGGATGTCGTCAATCCCTCAACGTTTTAACCAGGATGAGTTAAATGACCTCATCAGAGATCTCAACCTGTCAAAAGAAGCTTCTGAATTACTGGCTTCTAGGTTGAACGACAAAAATTTACTGGAACAAGAAACCAAAATTTCCTTTTACCGCACAAGAGAAACGGATCTGCTACCCTTCTTCTCTCAAGATTACAATCTTGTATATTGTCACGAAATTAGAGGACTCTTGGAAAAAATGGCTCTTCCTGAATATTTTCCCGATGATTGGCGCCTATTTATTGACAGCTCAAAGCGAAGTTTGAAATGTGTCCTTCTACACAATGGAAACAAATATGGTTCAATACCAATTGCTCACTCCACGAAAATGAAAGAAGAATATAACACCATAGCTTTGGTCTTAGAGAAGATAAAGTATCATGAACATCAATGGGTGATTTGTGTGGACTTAAAAATGGTAAATTTTCTCCTTGGACAGCAAAGTGGTTACACCAAATATCCCTGCTTTTTGTGCCTCTGGGATAGCAGAGACAAAACACACCACTGGGTTAGAAAAGAATGGCCCAAGAGAGAAAACATGTACGTTGGGGAGAAGAATATCATTAACGATCCCTTAGTTAGACGAGAGAAAATCATCTTTCCTCCACTGCATATCAAGTTGGGCCTTATGAAGCAGTTTGTAAAGGCCCTTGATAAGAACGGATCATGCTTTGCATATATAGAAATGAAAATGCCTCAGTTGAGTACGGAAAAAATTGAAGCAGGAATATTTGACGGCCCACAAATAAGACAACTCATTAAGGATCCTGCCTTCGCAAATTCGATGAACGAGGCTGAGCGAAAAGCCTGGACTTCATTTGTTGCAGTTGTCGAAAATTTTCTGGGCAAACACAAAGCTGAAAACTATGTTGAACTGGTAAACGAGATGCTTAACAGTTTCAAATCCCTTGGCTGTAACATGAGCATTAAGGTGCACTATTTACACAGTCACTTAGATAGTTTTCCTGAAAATTTAGGAGACACCAGTGAGGAACAAGGTGAAAGATTTCACCAGGATATTAAAACTATGGAGGACCGCTACCAAGGAAGATGGGATACACACATGATGGCAGATTACTGCTGGAGTTTAAAAAGGGACTGTTCTAAAATACATTCAAGAAATTCACGAAAAAGAAGCTTCCGTAGTGTTCCGTGACTATAGTTGGTTTGACTGTTATATATAGTCGATGATTTTTTCCTCTATCTTTGTATTTAATATAATAAAATAAAAATATAATTATAATATAGTAATAAAAATTCCATGTTGAGTTTTTTTATTTGATCCACTGATTTAACTTAAAATAGTGTAACGTATATTTCACCAAAATGTTATATCTTAAAAATTTGAGCTCCTAGGCAAAAACTAATGCCATATTTGAATTCAGGGCATCAAATTCATATGAAATCAGCTCCAAATACCCCGGCACCAAAACAGCTGTTGGCCTGTGTTATCTTAGTGTGCTGTGACAAAATACACCTATTTCCAGATGTGCTGCAGCTTGAAAAACGTGGCAAATCAGTGTCTTAATATACATCATACTAGGGTTTCAGGCAGGTGTGCTGTGGCAAGAAATGATACATGCTCACTTTCTCTTGCTGTAGCTATGCTGATTATCATCTTTCAGTAACAGATGCTATTGGATTGCAGTACTACAAGATTCACATCTCTTAATATTTGAGGGTGTTTGCTTGTAGTCAGCTAGCAATGTCATGTTTCCCAGTTATAAATGTTTGATTGGCCACTGGAAGGGACAAATATAATTATCATACATGCTCAGACATAATCAGTGATTCAAACAAACAATGATTTTAGGCAAGGAGACAGTCCTGAATGTACAGAAGCAAACTCAGCGCTTCTAACCATAGCGGTTTGTGTTTGCAGCTGTTCCAGATTTATTTTACTTAAATATATATTTTTCCCAAAGAAAATCTAGTTTGTTTTTTAATTTATGACATGCTGTGTTCATGATACTGGTTTAAACATCTTATTCATAGAACATAAATGGTTTCAGAAAGTCAGTGGTTCTAGTCCCATGTTTCTAGTCTGGATAGTTTTTTTTTTAATTTGCTTAGTGGGAGGTGGAGTCCAACTGGGTCCACTCAGCATGGCGGCCACTAATTGGCCTATTGTAGCCTGCCCTGGGTGATTATGATGGAATGAAAATTGGCAGGGGAAACCGAAGTACTTGGAGAAAACGTGTCCCAGCGCCACTGTGTCCATCACAAATCCCACTTCACCAGACCTGGGATCAAACCTGGGCTGCCATGGTGGGAAGCCAGCGACTAACCGCTTGAGCTATGGCGCAGCTAGTCTGGATAGTTAAAATTGACAGTGTTTCATTGGTCATGTAACGAAATACAGATCATAACATTATGACTTCTTCAACACTAGGGTTTGTTGTTGATGTTAACAGTGATTTATGTTTGAGTGTGAAAAGCAGAAAAGCTGTGCTGAGAACTTCTTTGCTGCCCTTGTGAAGCATCAGTTCTTAAAGAATTTGTGCTCTTTTTAAAGACTGGGTCAGTCTGTACTTTGTGGCTTCTGTAGAGGAAGGTAGACTGCAACTTTCAGTAAGCTGGAAGCAAAAGTAGTGCTGATGTTGGTTATTGTGTCATTTGTAATCATGTTTACAAAATAACTGATTATGTATAATTACTAAAAAAATTTGACAAAATAAGGGAAACACTACATATACTGTACACATTTCTTTATTAATATGGTGCTCAACCACTTTTTGCCTTCAGTACTGCTACAAACCTTCCTGCCATGGATATTGGATTTAAATACAACTTCCACCTACCCTCATCAACTTTATCAGTATATCAAAAAGGAGTCTACTTTACTGGCATAAAAGTGTTCAACAATCTGCCACAAAGTATTAAAAACTTGGGCAATGATACTAAAAAGTTTAAATCAGAGTTAAAGAATTATCTACATGCTCATTCCTTCTACTCTTTAGATGAATACTTCAATGTAAATAGAGAATGATGTAAAATTAAGTTATATTAATTTTTAAGCTAAAATTGCCTGTACTTATGTATGTAACATTTTGACTTGTTCTGTATCCAAAGGTACTAACCTGCTTAGGATTTATAGAATGTAAATAAATTCAATTCAATTCAATGAAGCTCACATTGGAGCGTTTTTTGGAAACGGTCTTCATGATGAATATTCAGTTCTGCTGTTACCTGTGCTGAAGTACTCGTAGTTCTGTGATTTTTCGAAACAATCCTTTTCAGTGTCATTGTTGATTTTCACTCATTGATCCTTCTACCTGATGTCTTCCCATGATTTGTGTATGCTGACAGCCTTAGAAACTGTCACTCTCTATACACCAATAATGTGGCAGGTTTTGTCGCATTTGCTATACTAAACATGCACAAATGATCTGCCGTCTTTCATTGTGCAGGTCTCCCATTTTATAATTCTTTCACACAGACTGTCGCTCAACACAGTCACTAATGTACTGTCATGAGCCCTACAGAGTCTAACAAAAACAAAAAGACTATTCAGTGTTGCCAACTGAAGTTCTTTCAATGTAGCCAACATGAACAAATTCTATTCCTAAATTTCTTAGTGTTTCCATTATTTTGTTCACACTCCTGTATGTCTAAAGATCAAAACAAACTGGATTTTTAAAAGACAAAATATAACAGTCAAACTATGTGAGTGAAAAAGAACCAAAATATATATATAAAAAAATTACAAGTTACATTGCATTGTAAGGAAATATGGGCATGAAGTAGTGCAACTACCATTGCCATTACATTTGATCTCATATGGGGGCAAATGAAATATGTAGAAGAGGAGAACAGTACCTTCAGAATTGCTGTCTTTGTTACCATTCTGAAGAGAACTTTTCAGATTCATTTTATGTTGTTTCAGGAAAGATGATGGTGGACTTAGCTAATGCAATTGATATGCTGGAAAGTTGGAGTGTAGGAAAAGGATTGATTGTATATGGACATGGTCATACTTTCTCTTCAGGTGGTGACTTGAATATGGCTCGCATGTTTTTTAATCCAGATGATGGGTTTCGCATGGCTGTGTTTATGCAGAAGGTCTTGCATAGGCTTGAAACATTGCCACTTATATCAGTTGCTTTAATTGAAGGAACAGGTGAGACTTTATGGTATACAGTGAAGCAATCGATTGAAGTTTATTTGAGGAGTAGTGGATTTGAACACTAAACTGAAGAGGGTCTTGAGTGGAGGCAATTTTAGACTAAGATAATTGACTTGGGTTCATTTAAATTAAATAAGGGAAAACCTTTAATCAAAAAATATTAGTTGGGAATTTCACTGTAATTGCTTATTTATTGTATAAGGCTTGCTTGAGCACCAGATATACTCTAGATATGCCTACAAAGGCATGTATGTCTTCAGGTAGTATTTGTTGTCTAATTTTAACCCAAATTGGAATGGTTTGACATAATATTCAGTATGATCACTAACATTGAAAATCTATTGAATATTTCTTATGTTATTAGATGCAGGCAGACAAGGTGAGGTTAGTGCAGGCATTGTTGCAATTTTTCATTGCAAATGCTCCATGCTGCACAATTTGTCACTTTGTGGGGCAAACATTTATGCTATGCAGCTGGCATATAACATAATTTATTTATATGGTTTAATTTAGAATTTATATATTTATGAATATTTTAAAGTTATCATTTCTGTGATTCTTTTCAAGGTGCACTAGGAGGCGCATCAGAACTAGCAATGGCATGTGATTTCCGGCTTTTGACTTCTGACACAGGAGGAATTGGATTTGTTCATAGTTGCATGGGTATAACACCAGCCTGGGGGGGATGTACCAGGTTGGTTCGCACTGTTGGCTATACAAAGGCTCTTGATCTGCTGACCACAGGACGCAGAGTGTCAGGAGAAGAAGCTTTGCAGATTGGACTTGCTGACAGCATAGTAAACACTAAAGATGCTCTTACAGAAACCTCAGAATGGCTGAAAGTAAGAATTAAGTGTGATGGGAAAGTGCTGAAATCACTGAAGACCATGGCACACAATGCTAGAGAAATGAATTATCATGAATCTCTTGCTGAAGAAAAGAGCCTGTTTGCTCCATTATGGGGTGGACCTGCAAACCATGCTGCACTTACCCAAAATATTAAACATAAATAGCAGTGATAGATTACTGTGACAGGCAGTGAAAACTGATAATTTTATCCAAAGAAGCAACAGGATGGTGCAAACCATAATGGAGTACACCGAATTTCCACATGTATTTATTGCATCTTGGTATTCTGAATTCTCCTAGCTGTTATATTTGTTGTCTTATGAACGTATGGTGCTATGATTCTTCACTATGAGGATAAAAAAAAATCCATGGTCTGTAATCCACAAGCAAACTATACTGACCGAGTGACCGCCAGTTGTCGGCAAAGTTAGTGCATGCAGTAAAACCTGATATTTTTATCCAGAGAAATAACAAGATTGGAAAGTCACAAATCACATTGGAGTACGCAGTTTCCATGTGCATTCTTTGCATTTTGGCATTCTGAATTCTTCTGTGTACTGTTATATGAATGTGTATTGCTGTGATATTGTCATGTGTTAGTGACTATATGGAGTTTTGATTTATTGAACATTTATAACTTGTAACTACAAATAATTGTAACACTCACTAATCTACATGCTCTACAAATTGCTATTGCAAGCAGTAAGTTGTCTGTGTCTTCACTAGTCGTTTCTTGATAGTGGCATCTAACATGCAACACAAGATTCTAACCACTGACTCTGACTTCCAGTTTCTAACCATCAACTTCCAACTCATGACTCATGCCTTACACGCTGGCTGCCCTTTACCCCCCAGGAATATTCTTAGTACTCATTTCTGTTACAGCTTGTGTTGACCCCAGAGCCATAGTGCAGATGGAAAGATTTGGTAAATTGAAAAGACTCCACCACATTGGGACTCAAACTTGCAACCGGCTATGCCACTGTGTGCCTCAGACTGTATATATGGAATTTTTCTGAAGTATTAATATGGCGGCCTCTTTCATTTAAGTACGAAAATACAAATGATCATATTACTTTCAATATAAGACATACATTTTACACATTTTTTCATGTTGAAAAATCCATATGTATTTTAAATTTGAGGAATGTGCACTTTTCTACTTCTTTTCTTAAAGCCCACATTCAAAAACTGGGTGCATCTTAAATTTGAGGGCCTTATATTCTAAGTAATATGGCAAATTTATGCAGAATTAACATAAGTAATGCATTTATGTTGCCAGGCTAATCCCAAGTGATTACACATTCAACATTGCACTTAACACAGCATAAGGTAATACCACTATGGCAACTGTTTGCTGATTTTATTATCTCTCACATTTGGAAAAAAAAAACTTTGATATGATATTATAGTCATGTTTATTGGCATAATCACAATTCACACACATATATCTTACTACATATATGCATTTTTCTTATTTCATTTTATAGTAATGATATCAATTAGTATTACCTACCATTCACCATACAATTTTCTTTGGGAATGTTCATAATACATGTCAAGAATGTATAGAAAGTAGTGTGAACCTACTGAAAACCTGGATCCACAATTCAGTAAGGTGAAATATAATGGTAATTCAGTAATAGAGTTTCTGGTGATGGGCAACATGATGATGAACCATGAAGTCAGAATGTACCAGATTTTAACAGATACTGGTTATATAGGATACAGGTTTATCACAGCAGTGGTTATGGGATATAATGCTGTGTGGTCTACTGAAAGTCAACCGGTATTCCTCTGAAATGTTGGCAACACAGCATAATACTCCAAAAGACAGAACTCTTCAAATAATAGTAGGATTCCCATTCGTCTTGCTTTTTTTTTCATATAGTGCCCTGCTTTTTAAGTGCTCTTCTGTAACATTAATTTCTATCAATAACCACTCAGTAACGGGTGCTATTCTCTGCAACTGGCATTTCTAGTACAATGTTAACTCTCCTGGTGACTAATCCACAAAACACAATTTCACAAACTGTTAGTTTTTCTGTTGGCAATATGTCTATTTTTCCACTTATGTTGGCAGTATTTTGATTTGTTTCCATAATCGAAGTTCCATTTGTATCATTCTCTGCATTCTTTGTTGACCATTGTGTTGTGACAGCCCGTTAGAATTTATCAGTTTTCATCCATATAGTGATGACAATTTTTTATCAAGTCCCACGTTTAAACAAAAATGGAAATATCCAGTTTTTTTTAAAAATCTGGGAGCCCTAAATAATAGTTACCTTAGAATTTGTGTCACTGATTTAAAGAAAAATAAAATTTTACTGATCTCGTCATTTCCATTGCCTTCTTACTGTTGCTATGAACTTCTGTTAACTCCTCATTACTCAATTCACTTTCATTCCATTATCAACTAACATGATGCTGGTTTTGAATATTTCATTTTCATAATATGAAATATCAAGTGCTAATGCACTTTCTCATGCTTGCCTTTTTTTTTTTCCTTTTAGCATCAAGTAATTCAGATCTTTCAAAGATATCTTCATCAACTTTTCTTTTACATTCTTCAGCATCATACTGTTTTTCTTTATTTTTATTTTTCTTCTTATTCTTATGATGATTGTCTTTGTGCCATCCATCATTTGTTTGCAAATTCTGTCTTTCATCACAGGTACCTTTACTTTCTGAAATGTAACCTGAATTTACATTTCTATCCTTTTTCTTTTCTTTCTTTATTCTGTTCGGTTTTATAAGCAGATCTTCATGTATCATTCTTCTATGCTGATTGGTAAATCCTTTCTGTGCTGTGAGGTCTTCTTTGTAGTCTAGATAAACAAAAGAGAATTAAGAAAGAGAACATTTTTGCAATCATATAACAGAATTAAAGACATGAGGCAAGTATGGAGGCAATGAAAGAAAGACTGTGGTGTTATAAATACTGTGTTTTGGAATACCACATTTATATTACTGAAATTTATATTTCTTTTATATTGTAAATTACAAAGACATTATTTTCAGTCTCCATATAATTTGAGAATCCATATCAAAATTAAATTAAACTTTGTTGGGTTTGAGGTTCTCACACCATTGGCTATGAGAGTTCCATCCTTTGGGATATACATAATGGTTGTGTAGTCTCATCTTGGTGGTTTCTTGCTTGGCTTAATTTTTGCCCAAAATGTCAGCTGACTTTCACTGAACTACAGACACATGACACATGACAAAATACTTCAAAATCAACTTTGCCATAGAAGTGCAGTATATTTAAAGGCAAATGTAAAGGTGAAACTGTATGTGCCCAAGCACACTGTTATGAAGGTGTATGGGAGCCAAGTTAATATTACACAGAGGTACAGGGTCAGTTTCATATTCTGGCTGATAATTTACATTTGGGATTTTTGCTTAGCACTTCCTAGGTGATTCACACTTTATATAATATTCGTATAAATCACCTGGTGCTCTATTTTAAAATTATCCACATCCAAACACGAAGAAAAATGCAACAAAATTATTAAAACTATGGCCTTCCAAAACTGCAGTTTTGTACGCTTTACAGCCATGTGATGCAGTTAATTTCTGGTACTAGGATGTTTAGTCAGTTTATGGTGGCAAACTTGAAATAAACGCTATCTTCTTTTGAAGTTTTATGTGAACGTACAAGTAAATATGCAAGATAGCACATACTGAAGTACAGGAAATCCACATCATATACGCAAGGTGCCACTCCATAACACAAGAGACAGTGTCTTGTGCCCCATACAAACATGATTATAGGTCTCATATTCTATACAGAAACATGTAATGCAAATCCTGCAATTGGACTAGAAACCTTCATTCTACAATTGGCTCTAGTCTCACTGTTGCTGCAGATGAGTGAGTAGGTAAGATGGCAAATGATAACACACACTGGAAAACTCAGCACAGCTGATAGAGGTCAACAAATGTTGGCTCAGTTCACCATTCACAAAAAATTCTATTTGCCAGACATTGCTCCACAAAGGAAACTGCACCTACATACATCAGTACTTTAATACTGTGACACATCTGTTGCAACCAGCTGGTGGCAATGAATCTCTGAATATACTTTCTGTAAGGTTTCTTTCCTATGAATAATTTGCCTATGAAAACTTTCTGCTCAATCATAAACTCTCCTGCGAGAATAACAGATTCAGACCTCAAAATAAAAAGTGAACCGAACTTTCCTGTGCTACCATACTGATAATGCAAGGTTTGCTGACTGCAAATGAATGGGTCATATTTATTGCAGATGAAATACACTGTATGGTCTAAAAGATCATGACGATATATAAATAAAATAGTCACTAGCAATCACCCTAGTTCTTATTCCAGATAAAAATTAGTACAATGGATGTCAAAGAAACTGAACACTGAATTATGCTGTGTAACAAATTGAGCCTAAAGGCCAATGGACTCCATGCACAGCTCAGCAAAGGTAAGTATATGCAAGGCTATGCAGATAACTTGGCCTTGGTGACAACTGGAAAATTTCTAAATACTGTCTCAGAGCTCATGCAAAGAGATGACACCTTTACCTATCATTCCAATATGCAGTTTTCCTGCAAATATCATTAATTTTTTCTGGTCCCTGTATATAACCCATATAAACAATGTAAAATTATGACGGGCTGTCCCTTGCAGATGGAGATGAGAGAATAGTACATGTATTGTTGTGGGGAACTCAGCATGTCTGCTTGCAGGTGCAACAGGTCTGAACAGATTTCGGTGTGCAGTGTTGTTACTGTTCCGTCCAAGTTATATGAGTGTTGGTTATTCGGTGCAATGCTGCAGTTCAAACAGCATGCGAACATCAAGTTCATGTGCAAATTTGGAAAATCTTCAGAGACAATATTGGCCCTGCAACAAATTTACGATGATACTGCACTAAAGAAATCCACAGTTTATGATTGGTTTTCCCAGTTTAAGAATGGACGGGAGATGCTGAAGGATGACCAGTGCAGTGGGAGGCCTTCAACATCCAGAACTGAAGAAATGATTGAAAAAGTGTGGCAACTGATTTGATCTGATCAAAGAATGACCATTATGGAGCTGGAGCAAGAACTTGGTATCTCTCATGGATCCATTCATGTGATTTTGTCCAACAATTTGAAGATGAGATGTGTCAGTGTGAAGTTTGTTCCAAAGCAGCTGACAATGGATCAGACGGAATGTCACATGATGGTCACCGGAGATCTGTTTGAAAAAAAAGTAAGCAGGAAGCGATATTTCTAAAAAAAATCATCACTGGTGTTCACCTATGACCTGGAGATGAAGATACAGTCATCAGAGTGGCACACAGCATCTCCCCAACCAAAGAAATCACACCTTGTCAGATCCAAGGAAAAAGTGATGCTCGCTGCATTCCATGACATCAACAGTTTGGTGCATCATGAGTTCATAACATATGGACAGCGTTACTGGTCATTCTTATATGCTAGTTTTTTGCATGGGTTGCACAATGCAGTTTGAAGGAAGCAGTGCAACAAGTGGCAGTGATAGTGGTTTCTGCATCATGATAACGCACCAAGCCACACATCGCTTGTTGTGCAGCAATTCCTCACTGAGAAAAACATTCCTGTCATCACCTGACCAGTGTACTCTGAAAAACATTCCTGTCATCACCTGACCAGTGTACTCTGGATCTCGCTCCAAGTGACTTGGCTGTTCCCTACTCTGTAAATGAGCCTCAAGGGGACATGTTTTGAAACCAGGGAGGACATCAAATGGAATGCGACAGCCAAACTCAGAAAGATTCCAAAAGAAGCCTTCTGCCAGTGCTTCCAAAAACTGCAGGATCAATGGAGCATGTGTTTGTGCACGCATGCCTGCAAGGGTCCTACTTCAAAGGTGATTAGGTAAGCATTGTCATATGTCTTACCATTACAGTGCAATACCACCAAGCCAGGAACTGTCTGACTGCCCCTCATATATCATATGCATTGTACCTCAAACTCTCAACTTCCCACATCAGTCATTCAGAATTCTTAATCCTGACCCACATTATTCCTGGAATGTTAATTTCTGTGGGGGAAAAAATTACTGAAAGTAATGTCAATTTTTTAAATTTGCAGTAGCAGTGATCCACCCCCCATTACTGTTTCTCAGAAGACAGTGAAATCACAGGATTTTTTTGAATGCACAGTACCAGTAGCCTGTCTGTACTGGTACATACTGTTACAGCTGTAACACCCTTCCTTGTCCAAGTGAGGAATGCTGAAGGTGTGAGGCGATTATGGGTTGATATAAGTTATATGCCAGCAACCTCAAAACTATGTCTGAACTTAACTAGTATTGTCTTGCATCATACAGTATTCCCATTATTTGTTATTGCTGCTTTCCTGTAATTGATATATTGTACATAAGGACTAAACACCGAAGCTTTGACATGCCTTGCCCTACAAAAACAAGTCAGGATACAACCAAAGACTAGAGATTATTGAAGTGAAGAATGTGACTGAGAAACAGACCAACATACAAGGTGTGGCAATAAAGAACCCGGATTACTTTTATGACTCATTTCCGGCCAAGTCATTGACGAAGAGGAGGGTAGGGCATTGTCCCTTGGACTTCCCTCTACCGTCACACAAAGTTTCATTCACGTGCATCGGTTAGTCTGGCCGCGACCATTGTTAGAAGCGGATCGTGTTTCTGAGCTCCGTCGGAATAATGCTGAGTGCTAATGCAGAACAACGTGCTAACATCAAATTCCTCACAAAACTTGGAAAATCTGCCACTGAAACTTACAATTTGTTGACAGAAGTATATGGTGATCAGTGTCTATCTCGCACGCAAGTTTTCGAGTGGTTTAAGAAGTTTATGGAGGGTAGGAAAAACGTCGGGAACGATCCAAAATCGGGCCGTCCTCCCACTGCGAAAACTCCAGAGAATGTGGAGAAGGTCGCTAGAATTGTTCGAAGAGATCGTCGACTGAGCATTCGAGCAATTTCTGAACTTACGAACATCAATAAGGAAAGT